TTATAAGTTACTGTAAGTTTACGTTAAGTCTGCTGCCACTAGTTTTTTTATGGACAGAGCCAATCCTGAATGTATTGGATTTGTGACCATTATGTTCATTTTCCTCCAGTAGCGGTAAAGCTCTGCTGGATGAAATGCCTCAGGTCTATTTTGGAGGAATACTGCAATGTGTTTAAGTTTTTACTCTGCTAACGATACATTGGAATCTACTGTGGATCAATATTGAGTAGAATTTCAATAACAGAAGGTAGGGTGGGAATCCAGTCGCCCATCCTGTCCTCGGTCTGTGGCTAGTGGAAAAGACAGGAGCTAGATTGGTCTGTCCTTCAACTGTCTTCCACTCCCCATACATCAGAAGCACATTTCAGGTTACGTACCAACTTCCTGTTGTAAACTACTCTCTGTGTGCGAGTAGTTTTGTTGTCTCTGTGTTTTGTTTCCCTCAGTTTTGCTGTTTCCAAATTGCAGGCTGATCATTCTGCACCTTGATTCTTTACCTTGCAGGTGTCTCAGTTTTACCTCCCTTTATAATCTGCTGAGAGCCAAGCTTTGCCCCTATTTCTACGTTTGCACTTACCAGTTCACGGTGTTGTTCCGTGCAGCAGGGCTTGCTGGAAGTGATGTGATCACTGCGCTAATTTCACCCACAACTAGAGGCTTAAGGGAAGCCATGCGAAATGAAGGTGAGAACAGTGTGTTATTAAGCCAAATGACTTACAAAAGCCCTCTTGTATATTGTCTCTACACTATTAATTTGCTTTTTCCACCCCTTCTCAGGTATTGAATTTTTGTTACCTTTTCAAGAAGTTAGAAAAAGGAAATCGAATGTGTTGGCATCCCACTTAGAAACAGGACTTGCTAGTGACTCTGAAACAACAGGCAAGGATGCTGAGAATGAAGAGTATGTAGTTCTTGTTATGGGGTCTTGTTGGAAAAGCTGGCTCTGTCTTGTTGCATTTTTCTAGCACAAAAACTACTTTTCTGATGCAAGATAAATCGTGTTTTGTTTTGTTTTGTTTTTACTCCCGAACTGATTTCTGTACAGTGGTACCTCGGTTAAGAACTTAATTCGTTCTGGAGGTCTGTTCTTAACCCGCAACTGTTCTTAACCTGAAGCACCACTTTAGCTAATGGAGCTTCTCATTGCTGCGTGATTTCTGTTCTTATCCCGAAGCAAAGTTCTTAACCCGAGGTACTATTTCTGGGTTAGCGGAGTCTGTAACCTGAAGCATCTGTAAACTGAAGCGTCTGTAACCCGAGATACCACTGTATTAATAGATGGCTCACATGTTGCGACCTACTAAAGTGGTGTCTCTTTGCTTAGGGGACGAGGAATGAGTGATGTTGATGACGATGAAGGATTTTCATGGTTGGAGGAGATGGGACTACAAGACAAGATTAAAAAGCCAGATACAATTTCTATCAAACTGTATCCTTTCAAAAGTGAAACACTTCCTTAAGTTGTGATTTAAAGCTGTGTGCAAGACTTGTCTAATATACAGCTGAGAAAGCAACACTGAACTACTGAGAGGCAGGAACATTTGGTGCTTGTTCCTGATATTTGGAGTCAACAGTACATTGACCGCAAAACACTTTCAACATGTACTATGTTCAGTTAAACTCATTTTGATACGGATTATAATCAGTGCAAGTGGGATGATTGCCAAGGATGGTTAGGAAAGGGCCTTCCTTTCTACTGCTCCTTATCAGACACATAACATGCCAGTGCTGAGGGATTTGCAGCAGCTGTGTATTAGCCACTGAGACAGTTTTGCATGCAAAGCCCTAAAAATCTCTGGTTCGGGTTACCTGAAAATCCATCTTTTTCTTCACCTCCCAGTAAGGGTGCTATAACCAGTAATTGGAACTCACAATAGTTTTGCCATGTCCAGGTGTCGTATCAGCTTGTGCTAACCTGGAAGTGTTGTGGCATTGCCTTCCCTGCAGCTCTTGAAGACACACCAGTTTAGGCAGACATTCCCCTGAACTGAGCTTGTGTTTTTGTGTTAACTTTTAACTATGCTTCTTAATATTTTATGTTTTAATTAAGGATGTCCATATGTTGCTGCACATTTTAATTATGGGTTCGTTTCATACCTGTAAACCGCTCAGAAGCCATTTTGGTACATAAGCAGCATGTAGATGAATTAATAATACTGAAGTAGGCAAGAGTCATATTGGCTAGATACCCTTGATGTGGTATGACTAGCACATCAAGGTGAGTATGAGGAAATCAATTTTTTCCACAGCAGGTTTTTTCGGGAGGCAGGGATTGTTTCTTTGCAAGCATGACAAGATCAAAGCTTTTTCGTAGCTAGGCGAATTATTAGCTAAAATTTAAATAGTAACAGCACAGTATTAATGTGTACTTAAAGCACATTCCTTGCCTCTGAGACAAGGGTGAAATGTGTCTTTACCTTGTAAATCACATGCAAAAATTAAATAAGGTTATGACTTTCAACTTGTATTGACTTTGTATTCATCTTCTGCTGTTATGTGTGTGTGTATATATACCTTTCCCTTGACATTTGGTCTGTAGCTGTAAGGAGAGAAATGAGGTACAAATGGATCACAAGCCTGAATCTGTTGTGCTGGTGAAAGGAACAAACACTTTCACTTTGCTAAACTTCTTGATAAATTGCAAGAGCTTAGTGGCTGCTGCAGGCCCTCAGGCTGGCATCCCTCCAACACTGCTGTCACCAGTTGCCTTTAGAGGGGCAACAATGCAAACGCTCAAGGTAAAAATTACTGCAACATGATTTCACATATTGTTGGCTTTATGGCGGGGGGGGGAATGGCTTGTGTGAACGAACACTGGTGGCAGGATGAGGAAGCTCTTTTTTTTGGATTTGCCTTCCCCTTGCAGCTTCTTGTGCCCTTTGAAAGATCTCTTATGGGGGGGTGGAATGCAAGGATAATTGGAGAAAATTGGCTTCACCCAGTCCTCTTAGTGGGGTCCTCCACTGGATCAAAAGCCTATGAAAGAAAGGAGACTTCTTTGTGGAAGACTGTGTTAGGATCCAACTTGCCAAATTTAATTTCTGGAATCTGTTACTAAGCATGACTATTGTTGGTCTGATAATTTACCATGTGTTTCAAAATGCCTGCCTCTATGATTCCGCGCTCCCTGCCCGTTTATCGGTATAACATGAAATGATTGCAGGCTGCTACCAGACATGATTTCACATATTGGCTTCTAAAACTGCTAGCCTTAGTATTATATCATAGGGTGCAACAAGACCCAACTTTTTAAGAATTTCTCTTAGACTCTAGAGATAGAAACTTGTGTTGCTGCAGACTTTGCTCTTTGCAACCATTTGCTTTGTCTCCATTAGCCTAAATCAGCTGTACTAGCCACTCCCTATAGTAAATCACACATTCATGCACTCAAATTATGTAATGCTTTAAGTTCTTAATACTGGAGGTGGTAGCTGGGCTTTTTGCGTGCGGGCAGAGGGCAGTATCTAAGTGGATATTTTGTGATTCTGCTAGAATTTTTAATAGGCAAGGCTTGAAGTTGCAAATTCTCCCTATTCCATAATTCATCCGCATGACGACACCATGCTTACACCCAACTTGTGGAGCATCTATCAATGGTGTGTTCACATTCCTTCTGGTTTGTAGATTGCAACCATTTAAATGCTTAGTCTCTCATTTATGACCACATACTTTCAGTTTCTTGACTTTCCTCCAGTACCATCCCCCTGTAATTGCTGCCTTGCATATTTCCTATATGTAGAATTGACCCACTGTTAAACTTTGGTTAGCTTTAATTTCAATGTTTTTGAACCTTCCGTGTCATATTGCTTATTACTTTTCCACAGGCTCGAAGCATAAATGTGCGGACACAGGTCCAGTCACATTACAAAGATTTATTTAGTCTGGAGATTGTTGGTCCTGTCATGCCTCACTCTATGCATTCCTTGTCCATGCTGCTCAGATCTGCTCAGAATGGATCTTACTCTGCTGTGTGTTATACACATGACCCAACAGCAGTGTTCAACACAAGCATCAGTAATGAACAGAGCATAAAAGAGGTAAGGAGATTTTACTTAACATTCATCTGAATTGGGAAGAATCTGTTCAACTGAAAAGAGAAAGCATGCTAGCCCTGTTATAGGTGTAAGAAACTGATCTTTTAGTGTGGTGCCACCTACATTCTGCAACCCCCTGCCTATTGACACTAAGCAGATGCCTTCACTGTATTCTGACACTGCTGTAAACATTTTTGTTTAGACAAGCCTACTCCATACATGTAAAATGATGGTGTATTTTTAATATGTTTTTAGTTTATATTGAATTATTTTCTTTGTAAACCACTTTGTTTTTTAACAAAGCGGTGTGTGAACTTTTTAAAATCATTGGTTCCATGGGTGCTCAAAGGATAGGGTGTTTGGTAGACTTGGTTCCCTTGTGAAATGGCATGTTAAACAATAAGAAATTGTACTAGTAATACTTTTCTTAATTTTTACAGGATCCCTATAGCAAGGACCTTAAGAAGTGTGGATTGCATCCTAACACTTTAGAACAGCTGACTCTTTGTCCAACCTTAGGAAAGTCATCCATAAGGCTCCTAGAAATGAACAATTATGCCTACACATGGAAAGCCTAAACAAGCAATATCGGTCAATGAAGAACTGCCATTGGTGTTCCTGAGATGTTTAAGCCCTGTTGGGTGGGTACAATAGCATTCTGCCAATAACAAATTGTACATGTTAATGTGCAAAACCTACTGGCTAGATTAGCCTTCCTAAGCAGAGTTGATGGAAAACTGCCTATTCTGTGTTGCATAGTTAACTCAACCTTTTCCTTTTTCCCCCACGATTGAAACCTTGATATTTATAGATTTTTAATTAAACTTTAACCCTAGAATCTTGTGTGTTTTCTTTGAAGCTACAAGCCGGAAGTCTGAGATTATACAGGACTATTCTGCAAGGTAAAACAAATTAAGTAAACCATTTGGTTCACTATAAACAGGACAAATTGCACTAGACAGTAAATAAGGAACTTGTGCTGCTTTATTGACCAAGCCGAGTACAACAACATCATTCTACATCCCCATCCAGTTATAGCTGAAAATTCAGTTACCACAAATGTATACAATCAACATCAGGCATTGTGTTTGACTCAGATTACAGTTTCATGTTTCTTCTACCAAACATGCAGGCAGATAAATTTATATTGCAGTTCTTATTTCTGTTGCTGGATGTGCTTCATTCTCACAAGTGTAATTTTTTTTCTGAGCTAGACAATTTTGCTAGACTCAATGGCATTCGGATAGGGGGAATAGCAGTAGTTAGCATCATCCAGCAACCATATCCATTTTCTCTTTGCAGATAAAATAGGAGGGCCTGGCACTTGTCTAGCATGAGCTACCAGTCATTGTCATTGTAAACTTAAGACTACACAGCTTTAACAGAAAGTTTACCAAAAACTATGGGAACTGCATCATGGTACAAAACAGTAAAACTTTAAATTTTATATTGAAGGTAAAGATCGGTTGAGCTTTAAAACAAATTACAGATAACTCCATAGTCATGTGTTCGGATTTTTAGTAATTTAAGAAATGATGGCATCACTAACATCGATATACATACCAAAACCATGTGATTTAAATATTTTCCATGTACAAAAAGAAAAGCCTGAAGGTGTCTGTACAGTTTTTACAATGAGCTGCTAATGTATTTACAAAACCACAAAAGAGAAATATCCTTTGCGTAGAATAAAAATATCTAGGATGTCAATATAAAAACAGTTGTTTAGTTGTGTGAGGCACTCCTGAAGCTGGTGGCATTAGCAAAGAGCTCCTTTGGTACGAGTCCCAATGCCTGCAGAGCCACAGTTGCGGCCATGGCTTTAGCATGCTTCTTATTAGGACTGACACTGTTAGGCTTGTATTCAATTCCATTGACCAATACCTGCAAGACAAATAAAAAGAGGATGCATGTAAGACTCAAGCATCACATTTCTCCTTCCTACTGAAGACTAACATTTTAAGGACACACACCTCTCTTAGTTTCTTGCATACCTCCAAGCCCAGGTGCTGTCAAGGAGCCTAAGGCTTGTCCACAAAGTTAAACAATAGAAGGTCTCCTTCCATCAGCAGAAGGGAACCTCCAGGTCAAACCATTTGTTTTCATGTGACATGAGGCATCATCTTGGGCCTTTGCTGCATGAAAAAGGGGCAATTCCTCTTCCCATCTGCATTTTTTGGTAAGTGATTGTACTGAATTATATTTTTATACCTTCCGTCACTTTGGGTGCTCTTTTTGTAGATAAGTTTTTAAAATGAATTATCTAAATCAAGCAAGCATTGCAGCCCTACAAAATAAGCAATTTTCTGTCATCTTTCAAAATAGTCCACTAACTTCTCCTCTGTCCAGAGAACTTCACATTATCACAGCCTGAGTTAAAAACTGCAAACGGGGAAACAAAGCAAAATGCACTTTCTAAAAAGGCAAGTATTTGCTTTGTGGGCTCAAAATGCAAGTTTTGAAATTATTATTTATTAAGGACCTTCCACATATGTCCCAAGCAATGTACAAAATATAATAAAAAGTTACAAAATAGTATACAAATAATAGAAGATGAGGTTAAAAAGAAAACAAAATGGACACTTTGTTGCTGTGGTGGTTTGGAGCCATGGGAAGAGTAGAATAGATCAACATTCCTTTCGTGCTATTGTAAGCCTCCACTTTTAAGTGCTAAAATTAATTTCTAAGATAACTGACCATTACAAGAACAGTCTAGCTTACCTTAAAGAGAAAATGCTTATTGTGTTCAGGTCGATTATCGTTCACCAATGCGAATATGGGAGGCAACCATCTTCGTTTGTTACAGACTTCCAGCAATGCAGAAACGGGATGTTTGCCTTAATAACAACAGGTTTTGTTTTAGAAGTGTAGAAATACCACAGTTAACAGAATTACTAATTCTGCCTCATTCATACCAGGTCAAATGCTTTGTCCATCTGGCCATATTCTCTGCTAAGGGATGGGTGGGAAATGCTTTTTGGCTCCAAGGTCACACATTCCTTCACAGATAACCTTCCAGCAACCACATGCCAGTGGTGGGCTTGTCCAGACACTGGAAGTGGCTCTGACCTTTGCACAGGAGGCCACAGGTAGTCATGCAAACATCACAGGTTCCTACACCCACACACGAACCTCTCCAACCTCAATTCAGGTAAGCCAGAGGCATCATCACAGTCAAGCAAAGCACTTGAGAGGTGTGGGCTGCAGAGCAGACATGGGCTGGGAGAGTCCCAATAACTGGATAGAGACAACTGGTGGGCCATATTTGGTCCCTGGGCCTAAGGTTCCCCACCCCTGGTGTCCTGACAGCAGCTCTCCCGGGTCTCTGGACCCTGCTACCTGATCTTTTTAACTGGAAATGCAAAGGACTGAACCCAAGACTTTCAATATTGCTGTACCCATGAGATATGGTCACTCTCCTTGAATTTTTAAGTCTCACCTGAAAGATCTTTCACTGCGCTGAAAGGTCCATGTCTCTTCTGTGTCTTTTCTCCCACCGCAACCAAGCCTGAAGAAAGCACATTAAAAAGTGTGTTCTCATAAGCTACTGAAACCTGGTCTTTTAAGCCAGCACTGTGGGACTCTCCAAAGCAGGAATCAACTGGTATAGCTGGCAACCACACCATACATACTCAGAAGCCTCTTGGGCAGGCCAATTGCACTCTTTAAATCTTAGATAGGGTTTCTTTAGTATCAAAATACCTAGTAAATGCTCATACTATGAGATGTGGTGGCAATGTAGTTACTGGCCCTTGGCTGGTTCTGAAACCTGTAAGCTTGAGTGATCATACATCAGATGCTCTCTCTAGTACATCCAAATATAAATGCAAGCCCTGACCTCATTTGGTTCAAGTCAGTGGAACAGTGCCACAGAAACTGGTATTCTTGAATTCACATACCAACGGGAGCAAACTTTGGCTTTTACAGTAGTGCCTCGCAAGACGAAATTAATTCGTTCCGCAAGTTTTTTCTTCTTGCGAGTTTTTCGTCTTGCGATGCACGGTTTCCCATAGGAATGCATTGAAAATCAATTAATGCGTTCCTAGGGAAACCGACTTCAGACCAGGTCCGGGGACAGTCTGTCCCCCGACCTCTTCTGAAGGCTGGGGGGGGGACAAGGGCTTTTCTTCCCACCCCCAGCATTTTTAAAAACCCCGGAACAGCGGAGGGCTTCTCCGCTGTCCGGGGCGATCTTAAAATGCTGGTGGGCGGCATTTTAAAATCGCCCCGGACAGCGGAGGACTTCTCCGCTGTCCGGGGCGATTTAAAAGCCCCTGGGAAGGCAGGCAGGGGGGACAAAGACCTTTGCCCCCCGCCAGCCTTCAGAAGAGGTCCTGGACCTCTTCTGAAGGCTGGCGGGGGGCGAAAGTCTTTGTCCCCCCTGCCTGCCTTTAAAAGCCCTCCCAGAAGAGCGGAGAAACGCGCTGCGTTTCTCCGCTCTCCCGGGAAGGCAGGCAGGGGGGACAAAGACATTTGCCCCCCGCCCTCCAGAAGAGGTCCAGGACCTCTTCTGAAGGCTGGCAGGGGCGAAAGTCTTTGCTCCCCCCCCCCGCCTGCCTTCAAAAGCTGTCCGGCCAAGGCTTCGCGGACCTCTCCGCAAGCAGCGGCAGCGCTGCCGCTGCTTGCGGTGAGTTGCCGGCATGCCGAAGCCTGCGCGCGCTGAGATCAGCGCGCCCAGGCTTCGCGGACCTCTCCTGCCTTCAAAAGCCGTCCGGGATAGCGGGAAGCGCTTCCCTGCTATCCCGGACTGCTTTTAAAATGCTGGCGGTGGGGAGCAAAGCCTTTCGGCCCCCGCCAGCCTTCCTGGACCTCTTCTGAAGGCCGGAGGGGGGGAAAGGCTTTGCTCCCCACCGCTAGCATTTAAAAGAGGTCCCCAGAGATTTCCCTATGGGCTTTCGTCTTGCGAAGCAAGCCCATAGGGAAATTCGTTTTGCGAAGCGCCTCCAAAACGGAAAACCCTTTCGTCTAGCGGGTTTTCCGTCTTGCGAGGCGTTCGTCTTGCGGGGTACCACTGTATTTGAATGAAAGCCAAATATTTAACAAAACCATAGCAGATGACATAAATTTCCAGTAAACACAGGAATGCAGACAACAAAGTCCACAGCAGTTTTTTGGGTTGTTGTGTTGTTTTTTTGCAGAGCTGAACAACCTACCCACCATACAATTACCACCCAAAGACCCATCTAGTCTACTGTTCTTTTCTCCCAGTGGCCAACCAGATACCTAGGGGAAGCCCACAAACAATTATCCCTCTGCTCACTGGTGACCCAACACCTGGTTTTCAAAGGCATGCTGCTGCTAATAGAGGCAGTACAAAGTCATCATGCCTAGAAGCAATTGATAAGAGACATCCTCCTTGAAAGTATAAGCTCTTTTTAAAGCCCTCCAAGTTGGGGGCATTACTATATCCTCTGGCAGTGAATTCCGTATTTTAACAGGCAAGCTAGTTGGGCCACACAACGCTGAGCTATAGAAAACCATGAACATTTTCAAGAAGTAATTTTCCATTAGTCATCAAATGGCTTGGATCATTACTTTCCTTCAATAAACAGAACTCAAGGCTTTCCCACCTCTCCTCTGCATTCCCCCATGGCTTGGAAAAGAAACCTGTGAGGGTATGAGAAATCTTCCAAGATAGGCTGGCACACAGCACAGAAGACTGTAGAAGGAAGAGCTTTTGATGAAAAATGTCACCTTGTATAAGCAGAAATGCCTTCCGCTTGCACAAGAGCACATTGAGATCAAAACCAACTTTTTTATTAAAATATACTTTCAAGTACCAAATATCCACTAAATTAAATACAGTCTTCTTAGGGGTGCCATCTTCAATTCTTTTAAGTTTTTACTGAAGCTGTAATATTTATATTGAACCAAGCGTAACTAAGATACAGTGGTACCTTGGGTTACATAAGCTTCAGGTTACATACGCTTCAGGTTACACACTCCGCTAACCCAGAAATAGTGCTTCAGGTTAAGAACTTTGCTTCAGGATAAGAACAGAAATTGGGCTCCGGCGGCGCGCAGCAGCAGGAGGCCCCATTAGCTGAAGTGGTGCTTCAGGTTAAGAACAGTTGCAGGTTAAGAACAGACTTCCAGAACGAATTAAGTACTTAACCTGAGGTACCACTGTATATAACATCTGTTGAAAGGTATACGATTATTGGAAACCAGCAAATAAATTTCTTTTTATATGTTAGCCGGGAGCTGGTTGAAGTAAGAATAAAAATTAGAATAAAACAAAATTCATGTTTTAGAATACTGCCCTGGCCCAGACCTTTGTCAGGCTTTACATTCCATATTTGGCCTCAGCAGGAGTAGTGAAGCTAATATACAACGTAATGTATATAGCATTCAAAATGTGCCCTTGGCTGTATTAAGTCAAACTAGAAATTAGTACAGAGAAAATGTTCTAGGAAAATAGACAGTACATAACATTTTTACGTAAAAATGGAACTACTAAAGAAAAATTAGGCTTGATTTCTGGGTCAGCCACTCAAGAAAGAACTGTTTAAGAAATGGGAGTTAGATCATTTTGGTACCTTATGAAGAAAAGCAATTACAGAGACTTCTGATCTTCTGCATCACTTTAAGAGGGCTCTTTCTGTACCAGAGAAGCAATGACCCAGATACAGAAATTCTTTCATAAGGAAGACATCATTGCCGGTATTCAGCTGCACACATCTGATTCACTCAATCCCTACAACAAGCAACAGGCACTGGCACAGTATCTTTTCGTGTGGTATGTATTGTACATCAGAAGTGTTGGGATGAAAGTGCTGAATGTAAGGTACCAAAGCCTTCCTGGCTTACACAGGATTTCTATTCAGAACAAGAATCCTCACAAAGGACCTGTTTCCCCAATGGACTGGGACAAATCAGTATGAAGTTGTTAACATCAGAGAAAACAACTCACCTTTCCGATCAGTCTTAAAATCCACTAGAATCGGTTCCTTGTTTCCTTCTTTATTTTTACCCAAGCCTTCTCCTTCTCTCCATCCCATTTTCCTCATGAGTTGGGCTCCCATTCCTCCAGTTACAGGGGCAGCTCTCAGAAACTGATCCTGCCCAAAGAAAAAAAGTAAAAAGGAACCCTTCATTTAGCACTCTGGAGGAAAACTACAGAACTTTCTAAAGCTTCTAACTATTAACTATTAAAGAAATAGGCATGTATTTTTTACATTACATACACTGAAGAAATCTACCTAGACATATTCTTAAAGTAAAAGTTTCAATCAGTAAGTGGAAATATAAATATCCACTGCTTATATATACGCATAATATATTTTACAAGCATTTTAAATAATAGCACTTTGGTTCCAATGCATCTCTTCTCATCTTGTGGAAACATTTAACTGGCAAAATGTGTGCCATGTATACCTAGTTACTGAATAGAAAAAGCAAACATTTACACATATTTTAAATATAAAAAAACAATTTATCCCACTTTATTACACAACTGTATGATCATTTTCCACCTGAAAATCCCTGTGCATGATACAAGCAATTCTTTAAAAACTTAGCCACACAACTCAACAGTAGCCTGTGACAACTGCTTCAGATAACCACAAGAGTCATATTATTATTATTAAATGCTGTAAGATCAAACATAGGTTTTAAAACATTTTATCAGCTTTAAAGTACTTTTAAAAACTCCTTAAATTTTTACGTACCTAGGCCTCGATGGCCGCAGTGTTGTGAATAGTAGGGCTGGCATTGACCGTGGCAAGAAGGCAGCTACAAGGCAGATTTGGCCCTGAAACAAGTTTCCATATAGAGGGGTGAAAGTTCACAGGCTATTCTGTGAACTATCATCTCTCTTTTCTGCCCCACCCAATGACCCGACGCAACGAACGGCTTGTGTTAATAATATACATTGGTAGCATCAACACAATATATTATTCTCACGTTCTCTTTTACAAAGACACAAAGCTTAGTATTTGGGTATCAACCTACACATCAAGTATTTCTTTGCTTTCATTCTACATTCCATTCATTTTCATTTACTGAAAATAGATTGCAAAAGCAAATGAAGAGTACAATCTTCCTTATGATTTCCTCTTCATGGCAGACAATTATGGCACACACCCAGTTCAATATGAATCCCCATATGGTGATGTTAAGAAACCAAAGAGCAACATTTCCAGAACATGTGTGACTTCAGTTCCATAGGCATCCTATGCCCATAATATAATTAAAACTGCTGCCTGTAATCATGCAATAATTGGATATTACTCTGGGGGGAAATGCTCTGGTATAAGGAAAGGCAAAACTGAGACAGATATTACCTCTCATGGAAACGTTTTGACTGGTGCAAGCCATGCAGTTTGTGTACACAGAGACATGTTAGCTGTTGCCAGTTACCAACTGCTTTGAGTTGAGGCACCTAGAAGGGCATTTACTTACTTCCATTTTCATCCTCCCCTCTCCTTTCCAGGAACCTCTCATTAGAAAAGGGCAACCATGCAGAGGATACAAACCCCAGTCAATGTCACCCAGGGCTCCGACTCCTCTTTTGCACCTGCTTTGTAATGATAGAATGTTCATCAACAATGTCTGGTTCATCACCAATGTGTATCCAGTTCACAAAGACGACAGAGAGCAACTTTCTGACCAAGGTCTTTTGAAGGTTGCAGGAACTTCTCATATACTTTCCCAAATCATTGGGTGTGCATGTTTGTGCGTTACAAAAATAGCCCTTTCAGGTGTAAAAGCAAAAGAACACAATCTTTAATGGGTATTTTGCCTAGAAAGGTGGGGTATGAATTTTAATAGAATTAAGGGTTTTAGTCAATTGTCTCCCGCTGCTCATAGAATGCTCTTTGCTTCGGTAGATGCTTCCATTAACAGAAGAGGGAAGGAAGTGGTTTTTTTTCAAAAAAAAATTCTTTTTCCTGAAGCTGCTCATGCCATGTCCCATGGCTGTTCAAAAAAGTATCCCAACCCACTAAAGTAGACTGGGAGGGGGAGTGTTGTGGAAACCACCCCCCCACCTCCGTTCATAGAAACCTGTGCCAGTCAAAGGGATACAGCTGGCTGAAGTTTTAAATGCAGTTCAGCTCTGAAAAGCACCTCTGAAAAAAGGCATCCCCTTTCCTAATTGGCTTGATGGGATAGTCATAACAGATACATCCAGATACGTTTTATGATGAAATCCATATGAAAACAGTAGTGCTTAGGCTGCATCTGTACCCACTTATTGTAAGCCCCACTGAACTCAATGGGACTTATTTTTAAGCAGGTGTGTAGGCCTGCACTAAGTACTTAATAGTGCATTGAGGTGGTATTTATTTCAATGGGACTTCAGCATACCTTGCTCTCTGGATAGTACCTCACAACTCCTTATCAAATGCAGCAGAGTCAAGGAAGCTCATTCTGTTAACTAGATATTTACCACCCAAGCAAGCCTCTAAAGTCCCACAAGTTATTTCAGAAACTTTTCTAACGGTAGCGATACGTAGGTTTCACTATCTAGATGGGAGAAAGAATGTTTATTATATACGGCAACTGCCAACATAGTAAAGCAGAATGTCAGGTTTATACGCCACCATAATGTTTATAGACTTTTTATAAGCACAGAAAACATTATGTGGAAACTGAACCACTGCTTGAAGTGACAGAAACACAATTCCATTTTGACATAATTCGCAATGTCACTAACCCTTCTGTTTCAATCTGTTCCAAAAATTCACACAAAAGTACTAATTGGTATAGTTAGAGTGTGTGGTATAGTCAAAGTAGGATTAATTTTCACTTAAGTAAAGCTACTGTTAGCAAGGCCAACAATTTGAATCATGTGGGGAATGTCTAAAATATTATAAAAGTTAGATATAATTAACAGCCAGATTAATTTAAAAGCAAATGCTTAATAGAAGCAGCAAGAAAGAGCAATGGGGAAACTGGTACTTTATTTTGTTAGCTACCCAAAGGCATTTATGTTTTCATTTGAATATTGTCACTTCTATGGCAATTTACCATGTGTGAATCTTCAAATTTTCCTACGCCACGCAAAACTAGTTGAACTTTAGGTCTTTTACCACTAGATGGTGCTAAGCTATTTCCTCTTCACGAGGTGGGAAAGGGCTGATAGATTCATCTTCAATTTACAGAACAAGGAACTGAAACCTAATATGCAGGAGCTAGTGATAAGAACTGTGTGTACAAGGAGGGAGGGAATCGACACTGGCACAAAAAAAGAAAGGTCCAATGCAATACTAGACTGGCACAAGCAGAGTTAGAAACCAAAGAGGTAAGAAATTACAATTTACCAGATTCATTCAATGCCAAGAGAAGCCCACACAAATGGGAACTCCAGGAATACCCAATCCTGGGTGCAAGGGTGAATACCTATAAGAAAAACACAGAACGGACTACAGTGAGCAGACCAAGTCTGCCACTGATAGTATTTGCAATAAAGAAGTTAAACTTAATACCAGTGCTTTACAGAGAACCTCTTCTGATCCAAATAAATATTTCTCACAGACACCAGGACTCCCCCATCTACAAAAATAGTGGTTATTATAGTTTTCTGTACATGGATCAAGGCATGGTAATATGGTACGTGAATTACAATGGACGGCGGCAGTGAAGTTGCCAGGAGTGGAGAAACCTTTGAGCCCAGAGGCCTGATGGGTCAACTTTGGCAAGTGGGTGGGACCTACTCAGTTTTCAATCATCTGACATTATGACATCAGACGGATAGATGGGCAGTCCCACCCATCTGTCAAGAGTTGACCTGCAGAGTAGATGAAGGAATCAACTGCTCTGCCCACCAGCTGATGGGAGGAACATTCAATCCCGCTCTCTGTAGGGGTCTGCTTCGCCCTAGACCCTAAACCATGGGCAAGGGTGTAATTTGGGGGAAATGGCATTGGCATGCAAAACTGGACTCCCTGGCAGCCGAAGGTTGGCCTACAGGCCAGAGGTTCCCCATCCTTGCTCTATGCCTGTACTTGCACCTATGGGTAACAAGCCCAGAAGGTCAAGCATGCTGCCGAACAAGCAAAGACGGAGGAGGAAAACAGCAAGAAAGGTTGCCAGTGCAGTCAAATCTAATAAGACACAATGCAGTATTTTGCACTTAGCATAGGTTTTGCATGTTTACTTTCCATAATACACTTCTTCCTAAATTCAGGATGCTGAGATTGGTGTAACATGGCCACTAATGTGAAAATAAAGAATACAATCTTGGTGAATGGATTGGGAGCTGCACAGGGTAATGCAATTCTAGAATGGTATCCAACAAAGTCATATCCTAAGCAGACCCCCTGAAATCAATGGACCTGTGCAAGGTTTTACTTCAATTAACTCCTGCTTCCTGATCACTAGAAATCACAACCTAGTTCCATTCTGCTTTCTGAGTCTTCAGAAAAGGCACAATGCATTTTTCCAAGCTGTTTTCTGCAACCACAATGGCAGAAACACACCTTTTTGAAAATGCTGAAATTTCCAGGATGCTAATTGCCATATTCTGCATTTCTAAAGTGGGTGGGTGTGCATGTGTGCAAGTACACACACATTTGTATGTGTGCAGACTTGCAGCTGAAACTATTTGCCCTAAAATATATTACCCACAGAAAGCCAACAATTACTTTTGTGACTTCATGAGAAATAGATATTTAACATATTATCATGTTTAACTTGCATGTAGAGAAAAAATATCATGGGGGGTGAGGTACCTGTGGGCCTCCAGCATGCCCAGGTCAGGGATGATGGGAGTTGTTGTCCAGCAACACAACTCACGTTTCTCATGCCTGATGTACTTCCAAGTTAGGTTTTTTGTTTTTTGTACGGTTAGATACATGGGCTACTGCTTAAGCCTCCAGAGAGAATCCTGAATTAGTGAAACAATTTCCCCACTTTTTAGAAACGTATACACCAATCCAACTCCTTAAGAGAAATTAAAACGTCTGTCCTTGCTCACAATTTCCTTGTTTGTTGTTATCACAAAATGCTTACTTTGTTGGAGATCTTGCAATTGCTCTCAGGAAACATTAATATTGGCAGTCACTGATTTCTGAAGTAAGGGAAGATCATCATTACAGTCCAACACCAATGAAGCACTACCCCTCTCTCCTATAATTGTTTCACCTGGGCACTCTCAGCAGCACGAATCCTGTTCATTGCAGCAATCACAAAGGTCAGCGTAGTCAGGGCCCTCCAGATCCTGAAGTGGGACACAGTACTGGGACAGGGGAAGCTTCAGAACAGCACAGCATTCAGAACAGCCACAGCATGCAGGCAAACATTCTCACCCCTTCGCCCTCCACTCATTCACAACATTCTGCGTCATGCTAGAGCTCTGGAAGGGCTGTCCCCTTCCTTCCAGTAATACCATACAGTGCCAGTTCTCATTTCACAGAACCTTTTCAGTCTCTCGTTTAGCAAACAGGATGTAGAAGAATATTATAAACTTTCTATCACTTGGGGCGCCCAAAGATCTTTTTGTGTACATGGTGACACACTACAGTAGCTTTTCTACAACTATGTCATTATAAAATACAGTTGCTCCCGAACACCTTGGGAGTCAAATGTTTCGGCTCCTTAATGATTTAAAACTGGAAGTGAGCGTTCTGGTTTTCGAAGGTTCTTTCGGAAGCCGAACGTCCAACGGGGCTTCCACGGCTTCCAATTGACTGCAGGAAGTTGAACGTTTCGGAAGTCAGACGGACTTCCGGAACAGATTCTGTTCGACTTCCGAGGTACGACTGTAATCAATCCAATTGTGCACACAAGTCCAAATACAATATAGGTTGAACAAAAAAATAGGACTGTAGTCCCAAGCACTTACAAGATGTAAGCCTCAGTGGATACTATGAAACTTATTTTTGAGTAAATGTGTGCATAATTGGACTGTGGCTAGACTCCAAAGAGATACTTTAGCCATTCCCAGTGAAACTTTCACTCCAGCCCATATCACAAATAGCTTCCCTTCAGTTTCAAAAGAGGCTTTCTATGTGGCATGGAGAACCGTTTTTTCCAGAAACAGACTTTCCACAGGCACATGGAATTAGTTGTGCAGTTCTTTGAAACTAGGCACAAGTATTTTAAAAGCATTCCCTCCAAAAAGCCTAGTAAGTAAATAAAATAATCCTAAAGGAAGAATGAATGTCTTGCACGTGTGCTGTGAAGAGTTTAATATATTTGCATTTGTGAACTGATTACATCATTGATGATAATGCAAAACAGAAATAATTTCTGCCTGAAAGTGTTCTTTTCAGAATACTGTTCAACAACCTAATGCCCAAACATTTGATATCACACTACTAAAAGTCAAACAAATTTAAATAAAACCAAACAACAAATTGCTACTGGGTGTTTTTTTATGTGGCCTTCTTTCTATCCCATGAAGCATATTAACAAGAATATCTCAAGTTAACTCTATAGTGACTGAATTTTGTTATGCTTTGCCAAAACTAATTTTAAAAAATTTAAAATGCAACACTGATGTAATATTTCATTTCTCAAACAAATCACCAATTCTACTTTAGGTTCCTTAATTAATTCACCACAGAATCAAAGTAGTACAATATCTAGAAGACTCCAAAGCACCCCGATTTCTGCATTCATAGAAAGTAAAGTGAGATATTATTAATCTGGGTAATGATGAATGAATTTGATTTTCTTATGGTTTCATTTCCCACCTCCATCCCCATCATATTCATGTTGACTTGGACACAAGTCCTACTGACTTCACCATGAGATTTACTTCCAAGGAAAAGCACCTAGTACCCACAGGATAAATGAAGAAAGTTCAAATACCGTATTTTTTGCTCTATAAGACGCACCAGACCACAAGATGCACCTCAGTTTTGGAGGAGGAAAACAAGGGGGGGGAAAAAAAATATTCTGAATCTCAGAAGCCAGAACAGCAAGAGGGATCGCTGCACAGTGAAAGCAGCAATCCCTCTTGCTGTTCTGGCTTCTGAGATAGCTGCGCAGCCTGCATTCACTCCATAAGACGCACACACATTTCCCCTTACTTTTTAGGAGGGAAAAAGTGAGTCTTATAGAGCAAAAAATACGGTACGTTGTAGAAAAGTATTTTCAACCTCAGGAATTCTACACTGTGGGCAGCAGAGAGATCTTGTCTCCTTTGCATCTCACAGCCTGACTTCCATCACTCAGCTAGAAAGTTTTGAATAGGAAAGGAGCATCCATCTCCTCATAATACCATATTTATTTTTTCAAATGAAGTGACTTTTTGAATAACAAATTCTAGAAAACCTATGAGGAACTGCTTTCCATATACATCTGATTTGCCTGTAACTGGAAAGACTTAAACTTTACAAGGAGTGGGCCCACTGACGGACTTTCCATTAACCCTACGTGAAAACAATTCAGGAACACTCTGAACTTGAAGATGCATGTGAAGATAGGGCCAACTATTACCAGAGAGCATGGCAATTCGATCTCACAGACTTCGGGAGAAATGTTCTACTCAACATTTCTTTGGTATCTAAGGTGATACAGGACTCAGGATACAAAGTGGGGGGGGGGGACACACAGGATGCAAACGCCAGTGCTTTGACATCCCCACCTATGCTTACAATTCAGCAAACTCACATGAAAAGTTCCCCAGCAGGATTCTTCCATGCTCCATGTCCTAGGCCCTCAGTGCTCCTTGCATCACGAGTACCAATGACTTGGATTTAGGCATAACTAAGCAGATTTCAAAAAGGGCAGAAAGCAATTGTGCCTACAGTACACATGATAAGCTAGAGAAAATCATTACAGCACAGGAGAACCAATGAGAACTCTTGGTCTGTGAAAGTCTAAGGACCGTATATCCTGTTTTGAGAATCTTAAGCGAAGGAAGTCATGAGCACCCTAGCACTACTGCTATCAGATGGCATCATCAACAACACCTTGCTGTTGAGCATTTTAAGATGGTCAATCCAAGGTGAATCTCTAGCTGATGAATAGGGCCAAATCCGGGACCATTACTGCTTGAAGATGGACATACCCCCCGACACTTCTTGCTACAAAGGGCAAAAAACCATTATTTGGAACTCTTCAGTTTAAGGATGTCATGATTCAAGAATCATTGGTTCAATCTTCTAGATTTTATTAAAAATAATTGGTGTATGCCTAATTGATACACTACCAATTAAATTATAGCAAGTATGACTTTTTTGTGAACTGTACATGGGTGATGAAAGACAAACACACAATGGAAGCTTCAGCAAAACCTTTGCTAAAATGGTGGCAGCCATTCCATAATTACCCCTGGCTCCCCACTTTTATTTCCACAAAGAAAACCTTTTCAGCAGGTAATATTTACAGATAATAATATATTTACAGTATTTCCCATATAGTTTAATTACAAAAGTGTAAAAGAGTATAGTACATTTTATCAACAGAATACAGTTAAAATACTCTCTGGTTACTGTATCTAAGTGCTTATATTGACTCAACTACAGCCCATTTTTCAAAACATCGGCTCCAAGAAATAGTGCTACATAAAAACCAATCAGAGCTAGAAGGTAAAATTATTTCTGTTGGAGGAGTGTATGTGGAGAAAGAATTTTCACTGAGACTGTAAAAATATACTTGCCAAGCAAACAAGCTAACTCCACCCCAGTCTTTTGAACTCTCCAGTACTGCGTAGTCAATTCTGAAACCTAGCTGCACAAATTCTGACTCATAAGTTCAAGGCACCTTTGATGTTTCTCCCTTTAAAGTCATCAAATACACCATTAAGTTCTACAAGCGGGTCGGGGCTTGAGTTATAAAAATCAGCTCTGAGTGAAGTATCCAAGCATCCTTTTTTGTTGTTGCCTTTGTTGCCTTCTTAACTTAAAGGCAAATAAATATGTTCAGCTTTTCCTCTGCCCCCACCCTACCAACACATACACTCTGCTAATCCCTTGCTCAGCAGACTGCTCCATCTAATATTTGTGTAAGATGCTCAGATCAACTTGTCTATCCCTCACCAATACTAACTTCATCAAGCCAGCCAATAACTCTCCCTTAGGAAGGACAACAAAAACAAGCCTTTTCCCTATTCTACCCCCACAATTCAGGAAAACCTAGGGCAAAGCCTCCTCTATTCATACCTGATCAGGCAAGTCCAGATGGTGCTGCAAGATCAGGCAGGGATTAGGAGCCTCTCTCTCTCTCAATGAGAGAAAAGTTAAGTCCCCTGCCTCTTAATAAGTGGTAAGGACATTAAACTATGGAGAAAAAGTTCTCCTGCCATTTTCAGATTCTCATCTCTCCGCCAACAGAAGCAAGCAAGTGGATTTTTACAGCCCTCTGAAATCATTTATTGAATTCACTGTCAAAATTTTACTGAAATCGCAACCAGATTGATCTCTTGGCTAGGTAAGTAATGGAACGGCATCATTTAATTGTACCCCGCATTTCAGGACAATTTCAGCACAAGATAACAGTAACCGTGGGAGTAATTAAAACATAGATCATTCTCCCAGTTTCTACAGTTAACCTACGAAACCAGTATTAACACAGAGCTAGTTAGGCATAGTAGATACAGATTCCAAAACAAGAGTGCAACACATCTTGACAGAACACAGAAGTAAATTAACTCATTTATTTTCTGCACCTATTTTAGGAAGCTATTAGTGTCCTAAGTGGGTCACTGTCACTTCTTCCAGTGATTTCAAAGGAATTTATCATGTGACATTTGGACTCATCTGTCTGAATATCATCTACCTTTTTAATCCAAGCCTGGGGACCGCTGTTGGATAACTGTTCTGATGACAAGACCTGTGCTCCAGTGCTTCCTGTAAAATGGCCTGGGATGGAATTCAGCTGAGCCCAGGCATCAATCTGCAACCATAAATGAACATAACAATATAATTAATTACTAAGTTCTCAAATGCAGACACGCACCACTATATACTTTTACATGGTACACAGTAGAAGCATAATCCATTTCAAAATAACTTAAAATTTGATGTTCTGAGACAGTTCCCACCGGCTAATGCCACTTCACCTACTGCTATGTTTCTTTTGTGGGGTCATTCTTTAACTGATAAGAAAAACCATATTTTGCTCAGAATCATAGAATTGCAGAAATATGCAGCTGTCCCTTATGGGGGTTGAACCTGCAACCTTGGTCTTAGCAGCACCACGCTCTAACCAACTGAGCTATCCAGGTACTTCCTTGAAGAAAAGAAAAAAAAGTATTTTTCTTTGTAAACCACTTCATTTCAAAGCATGGTACTGTACTGGGAATCTAACTGGCAAAAATAAAAGGAATTATAGCATCCTTTCAATGTTTGGAAGTCTAAGTTAAGAACATACGAAAGCTAACTTGGTTGTTTCTAGTCCACATTCTACCCAGAATTATGGTAAGTTCAGACTAAACTTCAATTTGTAAAGAATTTGAAAATTAATATTGCCACTAGTATATGAAACAGTAAAACGATTTCAGAAAACACAGCAGGTTGGATCCAGACCTGTCCTTCTATGTTTTGGAAGGCGCCTTCTGTTCACGGAAGGGACTGAGATCCATCAAAGGCTCCTCCACCTGTGTATGAGCAGGGAGAGGCGATTTTTGCCAATTTCCCCACTGCAGCCCCCAGGGCCACCTCCCACGCTGTTCTAGAGTCCCACAACCCATTAGAGTAGCTTTTGAGAGGGCGCAGAGGGTTGCAGGGGGAATGGGTAAAAACGGCCCCCTTCCTCCAGCACAGCATCTCATGGGTTGCGTTCTGCCCACAGGTAGTCTGGCTCCAACCCAACATGTCTTCAACTTTCCCTTTCTGGGGAGATCAACAAGAAAGAAACTGCAACCTACCCGTTCCTGTGCACGATTTAACAAACACATTGCCTCCATGTCAAATGTATTTTCTGTAAGCCTCTTTTGGGCTATGGTCCGCTCAGTCAGTGCTGATGAGATGTCCACAGGCTAAAAAGTAATAAAGATATCATCTGTTTTGAAGATCTCCAGAGCTAAGGAAATGCATCCTTCATAGAGGGTGTTAAAAATTATGTAGAAGGCAGTTCCCAAAATTTGAACACACTTTTGCACGACCAAGAAACAGACACTAAGAGTGAATATACATAAGAAAAGGCAGTGGGCTTTATCCTTTTTGAATTACTGAATATAGGACTATAATTTAGATGGACATACAAATGACTTCTGCGCATATAGAGGGTCTTCCTCCCCACAACCCACTCCCTTGACAGCTACAGGCATGGTTTGGCAAGCCAGTTTTGAACACAGAGAGCTTCAAAAACAGTTTGAAACACAGTACAAGGAACAGTGCTGAGGCTAAATCAGAATTTCCTCTGCCGGCACACCAATCCTTTAAATATGCCTGTGCATGTTCTCTGGATTGCTGTCTAAATTCTACAGATTGCTTTTCAAAAATTGCCAGTAGCTCTTATTTCTTTCAGGGGAACATATTTGTATCTGTTTCATCAAGCATTTTTAGAGAATCTGATTCCATGTTTGTCATCTGTTCTGTTTATGATTTCATATCTTTATGATGTTTTTATTAAACACGACCACGATTTTTAAATGAGCTGTAGATTCTAAATACTCATGTATCTATAAGGTAATGAATAGGTATCCATGTGTTAAGATCTTTCTGCTTTTTACCTCCAGATTGGCTGGGTTGGGGAACACATCGTCCTTGTTCTCATCCTTGTTCTTTTCAACTGGAACCCATTCTCCATACGCACTATCTGATTCTTTTTTCCGGTGTTGAGATCCAGAAGAGACAGGAAACTCCTTCGTCAAAGTAACCTGATTTTTCGGAGCTGCCGGTTTTATAGTAGGAGTCTTAAAGGGGGGGGGAGAGTATTATAATCATAAGCATTTATTTCTAAGATTTCTTATAAGATTTAATCATCGTAAGGTCCCAGGTAGGTTACAACAATAGAATGTTGTTGTTGGCATCCATCTTCTATCTCAAGAACATACAAATAAAAAACAGCTAAAACTCTTGCAATTATAAGACAAGTAAAGCTGCTCCAAATGGAGGCCTCTACAGTTTTAACACACAAATGTAGGATGGTGTGGAAACAGGGATGCAACATCATGGACGGGGCTCGAAGCACCAACCCATGTCTGTTGCCGCAGAACTGCCCTCTCTACATCAGTAAACATGTGAATAGCACTAATGTAAAATGCTTGTGCATTCAATGCTAATTAGATAGATGTTTGAACATCTGCAATTCAGCTTCAAAAGCCATTTTCTAAGCAATTTAGAGTGTGTCTAAACAGGATTAACTATTGCAGTCAAACATTTTTCAAAAGTTGTTGAACATGGTTATTAATGTTATACGTTATAGCACGATTGGTTGCTCTAACATTAATTGCAAGCAATAATTTTATAATAAACCATTATTACTGAGTCTCATTTGTCACAATTATTTTCTATAAAATTATCAAATAAAGACTTTTGACGCTGCAATTCTGCAGTACTCACAGTTAAGTTGAAGAAAATAGGTTTGGGCTCATTGAGTTTAAAGGGATGGTTGATAAAAGGATGCTCTTCCTCCTCTTCGTCAGACACATGAGGCTTGTTCACAATAATATCATCTTCCTGGCTTTGTGCAATCTTCTTGCATTTCTTTAAAAAAAAAAATCACCACAATAATAGGAATGAGGCAACGGTTGAGCAAATAAATCTATATAACGTCAGTTACCAAATACTGAAAATTATGGGAATCAAAGACTTTGACTGCTTGGCAACAGCACCGTATTCAAGACCAGGCCTGGAGATGATATCCATTATACCTGCAATACCACAGTCCTAATACAACAGATGCTACTGAGATTGCTGTGAAATCATCATGTGCAGAAGATCTAATGCCATCTGGCTTGCTTCCAATATAAATGGATTTATCTTATACCACATAATGACCAAATCAGTTTTACTATGCCCATCACTAAACTGAAATAGTGTCATATGCCAAAGGAAAAGCAACAAAGCCCCTACCATGTGGTCCACTTCTCACCTGAAATGCCTGTGACACAGACATGCTGCTCAGAGTAAGAAGCAAACAGTTTATTGCCCTTGCTTCCTGGAGGATAAAAAGATCAGTACAAGATTGGGCAGAAAGCAGAAGAGACCTATCATGGGTGTGAAGCCTGAAATCTGAAAACCTGGGCGGAAAATAAGCTGTAACTAAGATCCACCAAGAGGAAGTACAGTTGTACCTTGGAAGTCGAACAGAATCCGTTCCGGAAGTCCGTTTGCCTTCCAAAACGTTCAACTTCCAAAGCACAGCTTCCTATTGGCTGCAGGAAGCCACAGAAGCCCCCTCAGACATTCGGCTTCCGAAAGAATGTTTGAAAATTGGAACAATCATTTCCAGTTTTCAATTGCTTGGGAGCCAAAACGTTCAACTCCCAAGGCATTCAGGACCCGACGTACAACTGTATATGACATTTGGGTATATCTGCACTTTCTGTTTCTACAAAACAAAGGCATTTATAGTTTTAAATTTCCTAAATATGCAAAATGCTACGATTTTATATTCTAAGTTATAAGTGATACATTTGTGTGATAAATAATAAGCAGTTGTTGTTATTATTATTATTTATTATTATTATTATTAAATTTAATAATCATTTACCACCGAAAGAATCTCCAAGCAACCTACCATTTTTAAGACCATAAAAAACAACATAAAATCAGGAAAAAAAGAATATACTGTAATAAAAACCATACAACATATAAAACCAACCCAATAAAGCAGCAGCAAAAGCATGCCATCAGTAGACAGCAAAATCAACATACTCTATCAAATGCCTTGAAGAAGCTTATATTGATAAGGAAATAAGGATTTAACATATGTCATTGTCCCCCAAAAAACATACAGAAAAGATGTGGTTTTCCCCCACAGCTTTAAAATTTCCAGAAATGTTTTATCTCTACCCCACATCCCTCATTAAGTTATCTAGAAATCCTGCAATTTTAAAACAGATTTTAGTATCTTACTGGATAAATGCTGCATTTTGTATTGAAATAGTAATAGTTGCAAGTTTCATTTGATTCTCTTACCTCAGTGAGTTCCAATATTGTCTCTTTTGCAGACTTTTGTGCAACCTTTTCTTCTTTCTTTTCTGGAGTAACAACAGGCATTAGGCTTGGCGGTAAAGGAACACCAGCCTTTGCACACATGGCAGCTGCATTTGCTTTAGCTATTTCAAGTAGTTGTGCCTTGTCTACAAAAATAAGAATTTATTTATTATTTCGTATCATGCCCATTCTCATGATGAATTCCTACACTGCACTTAGAATTCCAGAACTGCACTTAGAACTTGGAAATATGCCTGGCTCCTATTCTAAAGAACGCTAAAGTAATGGAAGATTTAGTTCTAAAAGCGTTTCCTCTCCTATCTCTGAACCCAATTCAGATAAACTCACAGATCACTTTGCACAATCAGCTGTCTTAAAATAGGAAGGGAGAACCTATGGTTTTCCAGATGTTGTTGGACCACAACTTTCATCATCCCCGAGTCATGGCTGATGGGAGCTGAGGATTCACACAGTCACCGTGTGTGAAGTGGGGCACTGCCACTGAGCAGCCCCCTGTACCACCTGACAGGATGTGAGAGGTAAGGTGACAGCGAGAGCCCTGGACTGGCAGCAGGTGCCAATTATGTGTGCATTGAAACATGCTGCCACCACCAACCCAGTGTTTTCCCTGCCCCCTTCCAGTCCTAGTGAGCAAGCAAGCAGGGAGATAGTAAAGCATCAGCTGTAAATTTGTCCAACAGCATTTGGAGGGCCACAGGGTTCCCCATCCATATTTTAAAATAGCAAAAGTTATTTCTCATTTCTTCAGCATGGGCATTAAAATTATCTACAATAACTTGTATGTAAGTTTTGGTTTGTGAAATATACAGACACTGGGAAATATCCTACATCGTACCAGTAGATGAAACAGGACTTCCCGTTCCTCTACTGCAAAGGGTCTCCCAAGCTTCCAGAGCAGATTTTGAAGCTGTGCAGGGAGATGCAAGGCGAGAGCAGGAAAGAGAAGCCTGATACATGTGAGCAGAATTCTGTTGCACAAGCAGGCTGCCACTTTTGGAATGTCCCTCTTTAACAACACTTAAAAGAAATTGTTTCAAAATAAAGGAATCTTAGAAAACCCCGAGAAACTAAGAGATACCAATTTATCTTCATAACATTATCTATGTAACAAATTGCTGAATATTAATTACCCAAGTCAGTCAGACGCTTAGGTGACCTGCTTGAAGTTCTGGATCTTCGATGATCAGGTGATATACTGGTGCTCCGTCTTCTCCCTGTGGATCTAGAGCATCTTGGACGAACAGGTGTTCGACTTCGAGATCGTAATCTGAGGGGTATTCTGTAGCTGTCTCTTGAATCAGACCTCCTCCTCCTCCGGTCAATAGACCTTGACCGGTTTCGCCGAGATCTCCTACGCCTTTCCCTGGATAAAGACCTTTGTCTTGACACAGATCTTGATCTAGTCCTCCTCCATCGTCTTGAACATGATGGGGAGCGAGATCGGGAACGTGTTTGAGAGCGATGATCAGATTTTGATCTTGAGGACCTCTTCCGTGTTGCTGATCGAGAACGGTTTTTTCTAGATCGTGATGCTGTTCTATGCCTACGAGATGGTTCAGAGGACTTGGAGCCCTTACTCCTTGATCTTCGCAACGGGTCTCTCTCTCTCGTTTTTTCCAAAGATTTAGACCTAGATTTAGATTTATGATATTCAGGAGACTTGGTATGATTAGGTGCTTCCACAGATTCAGTTCCCTCTGTTTTTTCAAGCGATTTGGACTTTGATCTAGATTTGGAGCGTTTTCTTCCTGAAACATCTGAAGAGTCTTTATCTTTTCTTCTTTCAGGTGATTTGGATCTGGACTTTGATTTAGACTTAGATTTTCTGTGTCTGGATTTTAGGGAGGGGTCTTCTTTTTCAGCAGATTTTGTTCTACATTTATTATCCGCCGACTTGGATCGTCTCCTTTTTGATCTTGATGAAGTTTCTAAGTTTTCAGCTGATTTGGATCTAGATTTGCGATTATCAGAAGACCTGGACCGTCTCCTTTTTGCCCTGGTGGAAGTATCTCTTTTATCAACAGATCTGGATCTAGATTTGCGATTATCAGAAGACCTGGACCGTCTCCTTTTCCCCCTGAATGAAGTCTCTCTTTTATCAACAGATTTAGATCTAGATTTGCGATCAGAAGACACAGACTTTCTTCGCCTTGTCCTCAATGAACTCTCCCTTTTGTCAACAGATTTAGATCTAGATTTGCGATCAGAGGATCTGGACCGCCTTCGCCTTACTCTCAATGAAGTGTCCCTTTTGTCGACTGATCTGGATCTACTTTTGCGATTATCGGAGGATCGGGACCGCCTTCGCCTTACCCTCACAGAACTCTCCCTTCTTTCATTTGATCTGGATCTAGATTTGCGATCAGAGGACCGAGACCGCCTTCGCCTTGTCCTCACTGAAATTTCCCTTCTGTCAGCTGATCTTGATCTAGATTTGCGAACATCAGGGGACCTGGACCGTCTCCGCCTTGACCTCACTGAAGTTTTTCTTTTGTCATCAGCTGATCTGGATCTCGACTTATGGCGATCAGAGGATATGGACTTTCTTCTCCTTGTTCTTACTGAAGACTCTCTTCTGTCAACAGATTTGGATCTGGATTTGCAACGATCTGAGGACCGAGACCGCCTCCGCCTTGTCCTCACTGAGGTATCTCTTTTGTCAGTTGATCGTGATCTGGATTTGCGACGATCAGAAGATCTAGACTGCCTCCGCCTTGATCTTATCAAAGAATCTCTTTTGTCAACTGATCTGGATCTAGACTTGTGGTTATCAGATGATCGTGACAATCTTCGCCTTCTTCTGACCGATTCTCTTCTGTCAACTGATCTGGATCTAGACTTGTGATGATCAGAAGATCTGGACCGTCTTCGCCTTGACCTTACAGAAGTTTCTCTCTTGTCAACAGACTTTGATCGAGATTTAAGCCGATCAGAAGTCCGCGAACGTCTCCGTCTAGACCTTACTGAAGATTCTTTGCTCTCTTTTTTGTCAGAGGATTTTGATCGAGATTTATGACGTGAGGTAGAGTCCTTTTTTCTCGAACGAGAATCATTCTTACTTCTAGAACGTGCTCTTCTTGATGCTACCTGTCTAGAGGTGGAACGTGATCTAGATTTTTTTTTACGTTTTTTAGTCTTAGAAGGAGATTTTGATCGACTCCTTTTTGCTTTTTTCCCACTCTTACTTTTATCTTTATTTTTGCTGCTTACTTTTTCACTTTTCTTGTCTTTTAAAATATTTTCTTCCTTTTCCTTCATTATATCAGAAGACTTTGGAGCGGTGTCTGAATCCTGATCCTTCAAAGAATCCTGTAGAGTTATTTCCAATTCCTTCTCCTTGGCCATTTGCAAAGGTTCAAGAGATGCTTCTGAATCTTTCAACAATTGTTGGTTTGATTTCAGGTTTTCTGCTGCTGAACTTACAGATTTTACAGCTGCCTTTAAACCTTGTTCCTCCAAAGAGACTTGTTTCACTCCATCTAAGTCTTTTTCCTTTGGCTTGTGCAAAGGCTCTGAAGTTGCTTCTGAAGATTTCACCTCCACAGTGAGTTGTGGAATCTTTTCTGAATTCTTAGCTTGTTGTTCTGTAGTTGACTCCAGATCTATCACCTCTGCCATGCACCTCTCTTTGGAATTTTGTTCTGTAATGTCTATGTTCTCTGCAGTCATAGGAGCTGGTACCAAATCTTTTGTACTAAGAGCATGGGCAGATTCCAAAGACGCTTCAGATATCTTTTTATCTGACAACAAAATAGGAGTTGAATTTCTTTCCAAATCCTGAGTCCCCAAAGCTAACACAGATTTTGAAATTCCTTCAAAATCCATTTGCTTCTCTTTTCCCATTGTTGTTTGGGCAACTTGCAGATCTTTTACTTTCCCTATAGAAGCGCATTTAGTGGTTGCTTCAAAATCTCCTGGTTCTTTTGAGTGTACTGATTCTGGAGCAATCTTAGATTTTAATAAGGATTCAGTGTCCTTCAACTCTACTATATTCATAAGCCCTGCATTTGCCTCAGAACTCTTGCCATCCACAATAGATGCTATTTCTACAGTAGGTTTAGAGTCGTTTTCTGTACGTTCTAAAGCTGTTCTTGAACATGTTTCATCAAAACGCATTTGTAATTCTAGTTGTTTTTCTGAATCACCTGCTGTTTCTGTAGCCAGAGATGATATTGTGGCTCCGGAACTTTTTTCTTCCACAATACTTGAAAATTGGGGGGTAGTTTTTGAAACATGCAGCACTTCTTCACGTGTGCCACTTCCTTCCAAATCACTTGCCTCCACAGTGCACAGGGATTGTGGAGGAGTTTCTAAGTAGGTTTTTTCCTGAGCATGTTTAGATTTTGCAATAGTTTCTAAATCTTCCTTATTGACCAAACCTACAACTGCTGAAGTTGTTTCTGAAAGTTTCTCTTCCATCACACTTTCAGATTCTGGAGCTGCTTTGTACTGATGTGTCTCAGGGACATATTTTGTTTCTGAAGCCGATTCTAAATATTTTACTTCCAAAGTACTTTCTGCTTTGCTGTGTTTCTGAGAGTCTATTATTTCCAGTACTTCTGTCCCTGTAATTGTACCAGAAGAATCTGAATTTGTTGTACCTAGATTTCTTGAAGTAATTTCCAGTTCTCGGGTTCCTGCAGAGTCAACTAGCTTTAATACAGAGACTGATTCTGAAGACTTCAATTCTGGTGTATTTAGCTGTGCTGCAGTAGCTACTGATTTTTTTATTTCAAATACTGTTTCATAATTTAGAGCTTTTCCTAAATCTTTGGTTTCTTCTTCAGGTATGGATAGAGATTCTACAGCACCATCTGAATCCCTCACCTGTGGCACACAGAGTTTAGAAGTTGTTTCAAACTGCAAAGCTGCTTCTGAATTTTTCATCCCTCTTGTATCTAAAGTACTGGAGCTTGCTCCCGAATCTATGACATCCAACATAAACACAGACTGAGTTTTGTCACTATCCTTTCTTTCTGAAACAGTTGCAGATTTAGAAATAGATTCAGAATATTTTACTGCCAATTTTGTGTCTGGTTTTAGAACTGCAAAATCCTTTTGTTCTGCTTTATCTGCAGTTGTCAACGTGCCTGCTGAAATATGTGCACCCAAAACCGGTTTACACCTTTCAAAGGTTTCTGAACCAGTCACATCAACTTTGGGAGTAGATGTGAGCACATTATTCATCTCGTTTTTGTCCAAAAATGCTAGATTTGTTTCCACCTTCTGACTGGTTTCTAAATCTTTCACACCTGTCATGTGAATGGGTTCAAATGTATCTTTCAATACATGCACAGATTCATAGGATGCCTTCAATTTTTCTATATCCACCACCATTTCAATTGTTTTAGCCGCTTTTAATCCTTTATCGTCAGTTCCATGGAGAAAGCTGGGAGTTGCTTTTATATCTAACACATCTGGGGCAAACAAAGCTGCTAGAGACATTTCTGGTTTTTTTACTTCTTCAGTATCAATCACACATATAGTTTCTGAATCTGCTTCCAAATCTGTACCTGCCAGTGCTTCACTTCTGGGTTCTGCATCTGACACTTGCAATACTGGTGTGCACTGTGACATTTCATTATGGTGGGGAGGTTCTGAAGCAATTTCCAAAATTTCTGATCCTAGCAACAATTCACGTTTTGGAGGATCATTTGCAATTTCTGTGCCTGCTTGAACAGTAGATTCTAAATCAGCTTCTAGGTCTCTGATTGTAGATTCTGAAGCTGTTTTTGAATCTTTTGCTTGAATCAAATAGAAAGGTGTTAGGGTGGTCTTTGAAAATGTTTCTGTCACATTCATAGATTCTGGACTGTGTTCCAAATCTATTACTTTGTTAATCTCGTCAGATTCTAGAACTATAATCTTCTCTTTCTCTGATACACAGAGAGATTCTGGAGCTGTAAATCCTCTTGATTCTGTCCTTTCTTCCAATTTCTGCTTCTCTTCCTGACTAGTTAATTCATCTGAAAACAGAAACTCTGGACTTGTTCCTGCATATTTAACTTCCAAAGAATACAGAGAATCCAAACCAACTCCCCTGATTTTTGTCTTCACATACTGGAGTTGTTCTAGATTTTGTTCTGCATGAGAATCAGGAATTGATGGCAAATTCTTCAATGCTAAGGGTTCCTTAGGACTGCTCACATCCACCACAGTTGTTTCTTTTAATTCTTGTATCACTGCTACATCCTCCAGTTCTGGAATTCCTTCTGAACTTACTATATCCATTTCTTGCAGAGATTTTGAAATGAGTAATGAGCCTTCACTCTCAGCATGCAGCTTATTGTCAGATATTCCTACAGCTACTTCTTTAGTTACTTTCTGATATCTTGGTAAAGTTTTCAAATCAGTTGCCTCAGCACCATTCTGATTTTTCTCCATGTGCGCTATAGCATCAGAAGGCTTCTCCTGTATTCGGGGCACAGGATGAGATTCAGTTTCAGTGCTTTTGCTTTTGGCCACAGTTTCAGATGCTACAGGAATCTCAGAATACTTTCCAGGTGGCACTGAAGTTACTTCCATATTTTTCACCTCTCTGTCCAGTGGTTTTAATTTTTTACGTAAATCATTCAACTCAACTATTGTTTCAGGATCTACAGTTTTAATGCCTTGGATTTCCCCAGTTTGTAGTGCTTTAAATTTGTTTGCATCTACCATGTGCAGTGACTCAGGAGCATTTTCTGAACTTTTCAACTTCATCATAATCTCAGATTCTGTATCAAGTTCTAGGCTCTGTTCTGAATAATTTGTAAATATCATATGCAGTGAATCTGAAGTAGCATCCATCTCTCTCCCCTCTTGTTCTTCTTCTGTCTCTAGACTAGTTTCTAAATCTTTTCTCTGAGTTACTGCATCAAGTTGCAAAACGTCTTTTGCACTTTTCATTTCTTTTGTGTACTGAGATTCTGAAATGCTGTCCAAATTTTTCAAAGTCATTAACGATTCTAGAACTTTTCCAAAATCCTTTACATTCCCCACAGTATTACTTTCTCTTACATCCACATATTCTGAAGCTTCCAGATATTGTGTTTTTACTATCCCTGGAGCCATTTCTAAATTGTTAATATTTAGAACAGTTTCAGATTGTGAAATGCTTTCAGGAACTTGTACATCAATCACTGCCTCAGTATCTTCAGTAATTCCTGGCTCTCCTCTCTTCCCTACCACCGTTTCTAGGGGAGTTCCCAAATAATTCACTTGCCTATCTCCCTCAAATTCTGGAGAACTATCTAGATTCTTCACACCCTTCATTCTAAGAGGTTCTGGCACAGCAATCCACTTTTCCATTTCCGTTATACTTTTAGATTTTGCTTTTAAGCATCTCATGTCCATCTCCCCAACTTCCACAGTCCTCACTTTTAAAGTTGAATCTGTGCTTTTCATGTCCTCCAATTCTGGTGCATCTTTTGCATCTGCTACAGTTTGCAAAAGTATTTGACGTTTTTCTGCATCATTCAATGTTGTCTTGACTGGCGAAGCTTGAGCTGCTCCTAATTCTTTCACCCCTGCCCTTGTCTCAACATCAGGGGTTGCTGCTGTGCATTTCTGGGCATCTAACTCAGTAATTATTTTTAATTCTTCTCGATGATGCTTCAGTTTAGTTACTAGAGCTGGTTCAAAATATTTTTCAGAGATCGTATGCAGAGATTCTGAAGCTGCTTCCGAGTCTTTCAATCCTGCTGTTGACTCAAACTGTTGACTCAGTTGCAGATCTTTCACTGTGATGATGCTCTCAGAGTCATGTAGTAAATCCTCTTTCATATCCTGATCGGGGCTTATTTCAGAAGCTTTCACTTTTGCTGTATTCAAAAACTCTGAAGTGGCTTCAAAATCTTTTCCTACCACCATAGCCAAAAATCCCAGAGTTGTCACTGAATCTTTGGCTTCTGCAGCTGCCTCTGGGGGAAGGTTGGTGAAATTACAGCTAGCAGTTTCAAATGAAGTTGCTACTGCTTGTTTCAAGATTTCAGGATTGAAAGATTCTGAGACAGAGTCCAAATCTTTTACCTCCATTGTGTCAGATGCTGAACTTGTTTCCAAATATTCCAGTTGTACTGCTACAGACTTTGGACTGCTTTCAGGAGCACTTGTTTCTTCCATAGCCTCCAATGTCAAACTAGCTTCAGGCTGTTCGTATTCTTTTATGTTAGCCACTCTACCTTCAACATCAGCAATATTTAAAGATTCATTCCCTATGCACAAATTCAAAGCTATGTTGGTAGGTTGGTAGGTGTTATTTTCCAATTCTCTCTCATTTGTAACCTTGACTTCACTGAGTTCTTGAATATTGGCTAAAGTAGAATCTCTAGTTGTATCCAGTTTGCTGTTAACTGAATTATTTGCATTATGTGAATTTGACGTGGCTAAATTAAGGTTTTCACATACAGTTTTTTTCAGAAGCCACCCAGAGGTCTGTTTCGAAGAAGATACAGGCTGTAGATCTACATCTTCTGCACTTGGTATGGAGCTTGAGCTTTCTGATTTTGAATGAGAAATGGACTGCGTATCTCCACATTCTTTATGCTGCTCATTTAGTTTTGATTCCTTGGGTTGCTTTTTATACTTTTTCTCCCTTTTCTCCTTCTTCCTTTTCTTCTTCTTTTTCTTATCTTTGTGTTTCTTATCCTTCTTAGACTTTTTCCTTGGAATTTCATCTTCTACTTCTTCGGATAAGCCTCTTTTGGTAGAGTGAGATTTATTTCTCACTGTATCCTCACCACCATCTAATAAAAGAAAAAAATGTGTTAAAATTAAAAATCAGAAGCCAGATTTCAGAAGACTGAGCAAGAAACTCCTGACATTTTTGCTGTAGCTATAATCTGAAAAATTATGTTGCATGTACAAACTAGATCCTTTTTGATCAAATGGAGAAAATACTTACTACAAAATTTTAGCTTTAAATCAAGGTGCCCAAGCAAGATTACCTTTCTCCATGCCCGCTGATTCCTCCATTTCAAGTATAGCTAACACAGGGGAGAATCCAGATAAATAAAAATGCATATTCAACTACATTTAGTACAGGTGACTGGCATAGTCAAAGTTGGAAGAATCAATCACCTCAATCGTACTCGACACACAGTATGAATAGAATAGTGATGTAAAGGCCTGAAAAGATGCCCAAACAAATGAGGAGGAACCATTTCTCCCCCAATTTTTCCAGGTCTTCACATCTCCAGTGACGTATCATACGTTGGATTTGGGAAACAGTCCAGCACTAGAATCTACATTTACAATTTCTAATTAAGCACAGAATCAACATGCACATTGTCCTTGCTTAACTGGAATGCTCATTTTTATATATAAACAGCGGGAGGTATCCAGCAAAGTAGTTCCATCAGCACAAGGACATCGAGCTCTGCAACAGAACATCCCCTCCATCTCCTCTCCCTTAAATCTGTTCTGGGGGTTTCGCCTAACTCTACATGACAGCTTTTTGAGAAGTAAAGGAGAAGAAAGAATCAGTTAAAATCCCCTTATGCCTTCCTCTGGGAATAGGGTCTAATTAGAAGAATTCCATTCATGAGATTCTGGATCCAATCCTTTATTACTATTTATTCTTAATTACACAGCACCGTTATTATGCATGGCGGTTTACAGAGTATAAGAGAACAGGTTGGTGTACAAAGGTACATCTACGTCAAACTAAGGATGGATGCTGCCTGCAAAAGCTAATACTCTTCTTCACTCTTCACCTACTTAATGCATAACTGCGGTGCTTCTCATAGCCCATGTGATACAAGTGTAACATCTCTTGGATTACAAATTTCACTACATCTAAAAAATTAGATGTAACTATGAAATAAAGAACCTCATTGACCCAGGTACAAATTGAAAATATTTTCAAATTTGCCTTCTTGAACTGTCAGGGCCTGAATTTGTATGGGGTACTACAGAGTCTTCTTCAAGAGGTTATTATTAGTAAATGAGCTTACAGTGGTACCCCGCAAGACGAACGCCTCGCGAGACGAAAAACTCGCAAAACGAAAGTTTTTTCGTTTTCGAGTTGCCTCGCAAGACGAATTTCCCTATGGGCTTGCTTCGCAAAACGAAGCTTGCCCCGGGGACAGCGGGTCTTCTCTTTTGAAGCAAGGGGCGGCGGGGAGATCGCTTCTCCCCACCGCCCCTTGCTTCAAAAGAGGTCTGCCCCCGGACCTCTTTTGAAGCAAGGGGCTGCGGGGAGATCGCTTCTCCCGGTGCTCCGAAGCGGGGTGGGGGGGCGGGAACACCTGCCCCAGCCGCCGGGCTTCGTAGCGCTGCTGCGAAGCAGGGCGGGGGGCGGGAACACCTGCCCCAGCCACCCCGCTTCGGAACGCTGCTCCGAAGCGGGGTGGGGGGGCGGGAACACCTGCCCCAGACGCCGGGCTTCGTAGCGCTGCTGCGAAGCCGGGCGGGGGGCGGGAACACCTGCCCCAGCCACCCCGCTTCGGAACGCTGCTCCGAAGCGGGGTGGGGGGCGGGAACACCTGCCCCAGCCGCCGGGCTTCGTAGCGCTGCTGCGAAGCCGGGCGGGGGGCGGGAACACCTGCCCCAGCCACCCCGCTTCGGAACGCTGCTCCGAAGCGGGGGGGGGGGCGGGAACACCTGCCCCAGCCGCCGGGCTTCGTAGCGCTGCTGCGAAGCCGGGCGGGGGGCGGGAACACCTGCCCCAGCCACCCCGCTTCGGAACGCTGCTCCGAAGCGGGGTGGGGGGCGGGAACACCTGCCCCAGCCGCCGGGCTTCGTAGCGCTGCTGCGAAGCCGGGCGGGGGGCGGGAACACCTGCCCCAGCCACCCCGCTTCGGAACGCTGCTCCGAAGCGGGGTGGGGGGGCGGGAACACCTGCCCCAGCCGCCGGGCTTCGTAGCGCTGCTGCGAAGCCGGGTGGGGGGCGGGAACACCTGCCCCAGCCGCCGGGCTTCGTAGCGCTGCTGCGAAGCCGGGCGGGGGGGGGCGGGAACACCTTCTGAAGGCGGGCGGGGGGCGAAAGTCTTTGTCCCCCCTGCCTGCCTTCCCAGGGGCTTTTAAATCGCCCCGGACAGCGGAGAAGTCCTCCGCTGTCCCGGGGCGATTTTAAAATGCCGCCCGCCAGCATTTTAAGATCGCCCGGACAGCGGAGAAGTCCTCCGCTGTCCCAGGGTTTTTTAAAATGCTGGGGGTGGGAAGAAAAGCCCTTGTCCCCCCCCCCAGCCTTCAGAAGAGGTCCGGGGACAGTCTGTCCCCGGACCTGGTCTGAAGGCGGTTTCCCTAGGAACGCATTAATTGATTTTCAATGCATTCCTATGGGAAACCGTGCATCGCAAGACGAAAAAACCGCAAGACGAAGAGACTTGCGGAACGAATTAATTTCGTCTTGCGAGGCACCACTGTATAAGAAATGGAAAAATAAAACAAATACCAGAATTGACCTTTAAAGAAGAGAACATGAAAGCACAATATAACACAACTCTTGGTAAACAAAAGATATTATAACTTAAGATAACCAATAATGTACTGGGCTGGATGCAGAGATCTGCTCACAGAAAGCGGTGGATGCAAAGTGAATCCCTGTCCCATCTTTTCCCAGGCGTACCCCAGGCCCTCGAAAAGGCTCACCTGAGGCTAAGGGGACCCTGTTGAATGAGACAGGCTATGGCATAAAGGGCTGACAAGGAAGAGGGAGATAGCAGAAAATTGGGCCAAGGAACCTTCTGTGATGGTGCTTCTATCAACTTTTTGTGAGGATCAGTTTTCCCTAAAGCAACATTTTTGAGAGTTTCTAAGGACTAGAAATGGCAGGAAAAGCACCTTCCTCTCACACTCTTCAACGATCTCTCTAGATCCAACCCCTTTAGATTTAAAAGCTTGAATTTTCCTGCACCCATCATACATGACATCAGCCACAGGAAAGGTGGGCATGGTTTGGCCCAAATGGCCTGGTGGGTCTAAGTAGGTGGGTCCCCTTACCTGGTGGGTCTAAGTAGGTGGGTCCCCTTATACATGCTTACTCAGAAAAAGATCACACTATATTCAATTTGCCTTACTACCCAGTAAGTCTGTTTAGGAGTGCAGCCTAAGTAACATTGATGAGTTTCAGAAATGGATCAGGAGATATACACGGTGGAGTCAATGCCATACAACAAAGTATTGTAAAGCACAACAAAATAATAAATCAATACGAAACAGAAATACTGGCACAATACAATCTGATAGCTGTGTGTGCAAGCAACAACATTTACTAGAAAATGCCTGTTAATAAATATGTGTGTGCTAACAGACACCAACAAGAGGAGAAATAGCTACACCAGCTCCATGCTAGGACAGAAGAGGAGGGACCTGAACCATAGGTGCATCAGCCCCTGGAATGCCTGTTTTGGCTTCCACCACCAAGAGTCTATAGATGCCTGTGGAGCTTTCAATGGATGTATCAGGCAGGGGCCTCCAGGGTGAAAATGCTGCTCCAGCAAACTTACGCATCCACCCATCCTAACCCCCTTCAGCAAGGTTAGAATTGCTCAGTTGTTGTTACTTTTTATGCAAATCTTTACATGCCTGATAACCCTGATGTAACTCTAAAACAGAGCTTTCCTAACTGTGTGTTGTGACACATTAGTGTGTCAGCTGCAGTGTGTCAGTGTGTCACACGACCGCTCCCCGCGGTCCTCTTGGGGCTGGAAAGGGTTACCGTATTTTTCCATGTATAAGGCGAGGTTTTTTGCTTTAAAAAAAAAATAGTACAAAATTGGGGGTCATCTTGTACACGGAACATGGGCATCTGGGGGGGGGATCTATTAAATATTTTAGCCTATGTCCGGGATTTTGGCTTGGGTGGGCTGAGGCAGTCCCTCCTGCTGCCGCCCCCCCCTTTCTCCTCCCCCTCCGGACTGCATGCTGGTGACTGGGTCGCCTCCTGAAGCCCCCGCTGGCTAGACCACCGGAGCAAGAGCAGTTGCCACCACCGCTGCTGAGAGCTGCCTCAGCTACCTCTCCTTGCCCTTCTTTCCTTTTTTCTTCTTCTTCCCCTCTCAAACTCCCACCCTGCCCCCAACCCGCTCACCACCTTCCTCAGCTCAGTTTGCTCAACAGCATGGCCCAGCACAGAGTGGCCACTGCTTTCCCCCGGCTCTTCCTCAGTATTCTGCTTGGGAGCCTCCTTCCCCTCGCTTCCCCGCAGCAGCTGCTGCTACCAAGGGAAAGCATGTGGTGCCCCAGCTGCTGCCTTTGCTTCTGCATCATGGGGCACTGCATGCACCTCATGATGGAAACTTTGAAGGCAATTGCCAAAAAAAGGATAAACTTGTCACCGCAGATCATCCAGAGTTTCACTTCTATTTTAGTGTTTTGTTTTCTTAATTTTGGGTTAAAAAAAAAAGGGTAATCTTATACATGGGGGCATCTTACACATGGAAAAATATGGTAGTTTGCTCCAGTTTGCTAGTAAAACTGAATTACTGTGTCACAAAATGAGGCATGTCCAAAAAATGTGTCACTAGCTTGAACAGTTTGGAAAGCTCTACTATAAGAACACGTTTTTACAGAATCTGAATATATCATACAACTATTCAGTGTATTTAGTGTTGTTGTTTTTAAAAAACTAGGATATCAAACCATGTTTGATTTAACTAATCACAATCAGAATAAACAAGTTCTCCACTCACTTTACTGGCCGACGTTTCTCCGCAGACAGTTTTTCCGGGTCATGTGGCCAGCAAGACTAAGCTGCTTCCGGCGAAACCAGAGCAGCGCACGGAAATGCCGTTTGCCTTCCCGCCGAAGCGGTACCTATTTATCTACTTGCACTTTGACATGCTTTCGAACTACTAGGTTGGCAGGAGCTGGGAAAGCGCAACAGGAGCTTACCCCGTCGCGGGGATTCGACCTTCCAATCAGCAAGCCCTAACCTCAGTGGTTTAGACCACAGTGCCACCCACGTCCCTAATGTAGCAAGTAACTGTGGCTCATTCAAAAGGAAAAACAAAGCTGTTCCTCAGATCCTCTTATATACAAAGGATTGGGAGCTAGACTTAATCAACATTGCAAATTTTAATTTCACTAGTCAATCTAACACTAATTTTAAAAAATACATCAGTATGAAAAGAAGAGAGGTGATTTAAGTTGAGGAGCAGAAGTTTATAAGTAAGACCTGCAGCAAAACATTGCAGTGTATCCTCAACTAACAGGATTGTTCCTGTTTGGGGTTCTAGCCAGGAAGCCAGCCATGCCCAGCTTCAGGATACTACATTCCATTCCCACCCCATTCACCAGTTTACTTTCCTCACTGACAATTCACTTCCATGATTACTTGGCATAGTCAGACCACACTGCACTGTTGAGTGGGGGGCAGACTGTTGCCCACTCAGGTGTCACTGGTTTTTAAAAATATTTTTGTACTTCTGCAAGCCTTGGGGATTTCCTGAGCATGCCGATATATCCCTCTTGTTTATCAGTGGTTCTATTTTGATGTCAACACTCATACCTGTTTGCTATTAGGAGTGAGATATCAGGGTTATATAAGATTAATTTAGTCCGCCCATAATATTTTATGGTACAATTTACCATAACTGCATTAATACTTCTGGAACTTGGGTTCTGACACCATGTCTGAGGTCTCACTATTCAGGCGTTATGTTAATTTTCTACAAAAGATAAATGAACGATAATAGTTTTTAAATAATTAAACGCAACTCAAATGATTCACATTAGACCAGAGTAAATGGTGCACTATCTTTTAAAGAAATTGCAGTCATACCTCAGGTTACGAACGCTGCGGGTTGCGCGTTTTCAGGTTGCGGACCGTGCCAAACCAGGAAGTACCGGAATGGGTTACTTCCGGGTTTCGGCACTTGCACATGTGCAGAAGCACAAAATGACATCAGGTGCATGTGCAGAAGCACCAAATTGTGTCATGCACATGCGCAGACGCGGTGCTTCAGGCTACGAACGCTGTGGGTTGCGAACGTGCCTCCCGCACGGATCACATTCACAACCCAAGGTATGACTGTATTCAGCAGTTGAGGTGACAAAAAACAAAACAGTGATCTGAGAAATCAGCTATTGTCCAATATATTGGTTTTGTACATATAACTTTAAAAACACATGTATTTTAATACCATAGATATATGGCAATTACTTCACACACATGAAATGTGTGAAAGCTTAACCACCAGCTTTATCAACAATAAGCACATTCACATTGAGCTGTATTCAATGAAGTCAGACTCAAACATACATTTAACTTACTTAGCTGCGTATAACCCATTGAATCTCATTCAAATAATCAGGAAAAAATAACACCGTATTTTACTATTAGTAAATGAATTTGGCAATTACAACTCAATCCTAAATCTGTTTGCTTACAAATAAATCCCAGTAATTTCAATATGCTTTACTCCCTAGTGTGCATAGAGAGCTGCAGCCGTAATTTAACATTTACATGAAAATACTTTATATATACTTGTTCTAACTAGTTTTACACATTACCTCAATACACTGTTAGTTTTCCCAAATGTAAAAGATCAATAACTTAACTCATTTTTGGAAAGCAGAATACTTTGAAAGACATAACTGTAAAACTGCCAAAACCACCAAAAACAGGCTTCCTCAAACTCAGACCTCCAGATGTTTTTTGGCCTACAACTCCCATGATCCCTAGCTAGCAGGACCAGTGGTCAGGAATGATGGGAACTGTAGTCTCAAAACATCTGGAGGGCAGAGTCTGAGGAAGCCTGACCAAAAAGCACAGATGGCACAAATAACATATTGAAGAGCCTTCTGTTAAAATAAAAATAAAATTGAGGACAACATAGTACAGACTTCCCCTCTTCCTCTGCTCCCGCTGAGATTCCCCATTCCCCCCCCGAGAATCCCAAAATCCTCTAGAGCAGATGCAGACACATGAGGGACTGTTGGGGGGACAGAATTTGAAGGGGAAGTCCCATAGTGGTTACAGAATTCATTCCATTGAAGAATGTAGAGCATTAGATTTCAACCTGAAGGTGCACATTGAAAGAAAATTATATACAAAGGTTAAAATATTTTTTATGTACCTGGTTTGTACTGTGACTCTGCACCCAACACTTCTGATAATACTTGTTCTATCTTCTGCACTAATGGATCATTCTGAAGATTCCCAATAGACGTAATTGTATCATCTGAAGAGTTCACTTGCTCAGATGAGTTTATTTCACCATTGTGCTGGCTTCCTAACTTTGCACTAATAAAGAAAAATATGCAGAATCTCAATATTAGGTATACGTTAAAAACAAATGGCAATAATATAACACAGTAACATTCAATTAACATATAGAATTGGATGCAGACTTGCTCATTCATGAACAGAAAGGAATTTCAGCGTACTGTACAAACACAACTAGGAAGAGGAACCTGGATTTGCCTCACATGTGGCGTATTGCTATACCCCATCATTCAAGGACAAAAAGCATATTGCTGTACAGTAGATGGCATGGACATAGATGTGTTTGGATATTGATACAATATCACTCCCTATGGAAGCCTTGTGGATACAAATCCTTTCAACTAACTAATTTAGGTTAGATGTGATGATTTAAGACAGGAAGGAAAACAGTTAACAATTAAGAATTAACATAGGTAAAGGTGAAGGGACCCCTGACCATTAGGTCCAGTCGTGACCTAATGCGGCACTCATCTCGCTTTACTGGCCGAGGGAGCTGGCATACAGCTTCCAGGTCATGTGGCCAGAATGACTAAGCCGCTTCTGATGAACCAGAGCAGCACACAGAAACGCCGTTTACCTTCTCGCCAGAGTGGTACCTATTTATCTACTTGCACTTTGACATGCTTTCGAACTGCTAGGTTGGCAGGAGCAGGGACCGAGCAACGGGAGCTCACTCCATCGCGGGGATTCGAACCGCCGACCTTCTGATCGGTAAGTCCTAGGCTTTGTGGTTTAACCCACAGAACCACCTGCGTCCCTAAAGATTAACATACTGCTTCATTAAAGTACTGTATTGATTTTTGGGTGCTAGTGTATAAGGCTAGTGACAGCCATCCTATTGGATATTTGGAATGGTTTTGAAAATTTTCAGGACCTTGCACTGAGAAACTTAACTGTGTAATAGTGGAGAATTTTAGATCTTCCTAACTGAAAGTGAAAGAGTACAGTAAGAAATGTGGTTGTTTACAAGTTTAGCTTGCTTCTGCGTCTATTACAGCACTGATCTCAGACAGCAGACTGAAGGTATCATCATTATATCCTATTTTTCTATTTAAAAAACCACTTTTGTACTAAAAAAAAATTCTGACATAACAGAAGTATATGATTTAACTCATTTTGGTATTTCATTTACTGTTTCTACAGTACTTAGCAATGGGATTTGACACTATGTGATGAACAGAATCTTTTGAGAACTCTCTATTTTTTGTCTTTTGTGGACTGTATACTTCCTGTAACAATTTAGTTACTTTCTCTATTTATTTAATAGAATTTGTATACTGCTTATCCAAGTGGTTTGCATAATATGCTAGGCGTTTTAATAAATGAAATTTCTCATCCATTCCAGTCAAGGAGTTTGCAGTGAATGAAACTTCCCCCATGAACTACATGACTAAATGAGGATTGTTTTACAGTCAAGTTGTGTTATTTTTCTTTACACGGTGCTTAACAAAGAAACCCAATAAAAGAGCAATATTATTAAGGAGTCAGTACTACTGTTTACACTTTAAGCATCAACAACAAATAATGCTGCAATACATGCTCCAAAGCATCTACAGTACAAGGTAGAACAAACCACTAAGAAAAAAACCACTAGGAACCTCTACCAACCTTCACAACTGAGTTAACGTTCCCAACATTTCTGAAAATACTTAGTTCTTGTGAAAAGCAATTACATATTAAGAGAGAATCAACTCTTGATGTTTACGGTAAAATCCTATGCATATTTAGAATTGGCTTTTTAGCATCACAAAATGTTGCCTTCATGAACACCATCCTTTCTTCTTTTCTTTAATACTTTGTTTACCGGCCAGAACCGCTGAAGGAACAGCTAACTTCCTCGAGAGCAGTTCTTCGAAACACTGGCTTCCTTAGAGCAGGAGTGGAGAACCTTTGACCCTCCCAAGATGCTGCTGAACTACAACTCCCATCCGCCCCAACAAGCACAGCAAAGAGCCAGGGCTGACGGGAGTTGTAGTTCAGCAACTTTTGGAGAGGCCTAAGGTTCCCAAGGCCTGCTTTGGCAGCTTCGAAGCTCAGGGTCCGTTTGTAAACCCTTATTCCTCTGGGTGCCCCCGAATTCCTCCACGAAACTTGCTCTTAACGCCTCACGCCGGTCCGAAGTCGGCTTGAGCGCCAATCCTCACAGACGCCGTTCTTCTGCTCCGCCGCCTCCCTCAGCAGCTGCCCTTTATTGTCTCTCCCGGGCGCCGAGCCCCCCCCCCGGCGCTGCCATAATCTCCTCGCCCACAGCCCCCCCCCGGCATCCCCCCTCCCTCGACATCCCTTCCGGTCCCTTCGCTCTGCCCCTCCCCCACTCCTGCCGTTACTCCGCGTAATGCCGCCGCCAAAAGAAAACCCGGTCCCTCTGACCAATTACCTGCCGAATTGCTGCTCCTGGATCTCCCGGAACTTGCTAACGACAAAAGACCGAAAAATCTGCTCGATGCTAGTCGCCATGACAGCCTCGCGCAGCACAGCCCCCCCCACTTCCCCTTATCCCCCCCTTCACTCGCTCTCCGAGACGCAGATCCGCCTGCGCTCTACAATGCAACACCGGAAGAAGACGCGGCCGGGCTCTTCTTCCCCTCCCCCTCTCCTCCTCGTCCCGCCCTCCACTTCCGGATTGCCCTCTCGTTCTCCTGATTGCTCGTTCCGACAAGGGGCGGAGCCTGAGCCGGCTTGGGGATGGGCGCTCTGTAGTCGAAGTGAACCATAGAGCGCCTACTCGGATGCCTTGGAGGTGCGAGGCGGACGTGACTCCGGGCGCCCCTCCTCCCCTTCCTCCGCCTTGCGTAACTGTATATGGCCGCCTTCTGGCTTCTCGTCAGCTCAGGCGACGTCCGGAGTTGGGAACACAATGAAAATGGCAGCGGTTGAGTCCGGGGCAGGAAAACAATCTGAAGGCCCGCACTTTGTCCTTCTGTTCGCCAAGGGGGGCGCTTCGGTCGTCTCTGTGTCCGTCCGCCCCCCCCCCGTTTCAGACGTGGTTGTGCACAAGGTCAATGAAACTGAATGCAAAAACCGCCCCCAAGGTGCTGCACGCTTTTGGCGGCTCTCGGCGGAGAGGCCCAGTCCTTCGGAGTTGGACGTTGCACTGCCCTCCCTCCGACCGGGGAACAGCGGCCATGTTGTTGATGCCGCAGTTGGAGGCGAGGTGCCGCCGTCCTTGCTTCCCGGCTCGGAAGGACGCCATATACACGCACAGCCTGAAATACAGATATATGCACAAACACACCACTTTCTCTCACACACCCGACACCAAAAGCTTTCCGAGTTTGCGTGCTGGGCGGGCTGAGAACCCGATTCCGTGTATGTTTACTCGCAAGTAATTCTGCACAAGATAGCAGCATTTCCAAATTCAGTGCTTTGTATTCCCTAAGATGTTAACGCGCGCACCACTAGCCCAGAACTGCTAAAAATAAATACACAACAGCTCCCGAGACGGGCCTTGAAAGGCATCAGTCGTGTTATTATTCACTGCTGAAAGACTGTAAATAAATGCGTTTCTATATAAAAAAATGAATATGTTATGCTAAGGTACACCTGGAGCATGTACACATGTCTATAACACGGTTGAGGGAAGGACCGCAGCTCAGTGAACGGAGCACATGCTTTGCATGCAGAAGGTCTGGGATTAATCTTTGTAAGTAGGCAGAACCTGAGATCCATATAAACAGCTGGAGGATCACAAGACTCCACATCCCTGTACAGTATTAGTAGAAATATTTTCCATGTCACAGGGTTTTAAAACAAGAGTTTTAAGTGGAAAGTACATTGGTTTCATCTGGATTGTTGTTTAGTCGTTTAGTCGTGCCCGACTCTTTGTGACCCCATGGACCAGAGCACGCCAGGCACTCCTGTGTTCCACTGCCTCCCGCAGTTTGGTCAGACTCATGTTTGTAGCTTCGAGAACACTGTCCAACCATCTTGTCCTCTGTCGTCCCCTTATTAGAAAAATATAATTCTCATAACAATAGCCTGTTTTATGGTGCACATAATTATGATCTTTGCCTTATATAATCCACTTAGAAGCATTTATTAAGCAGGTCATAAATATTGTTAAAATAAATGTGGTGACAACCTTTAGATACAGTGGTACCTTGGGTTAAGTACTTAATTCGTACCGGAGGTCCGTACTTAACCTGAAACTGTTCTCATCCTGAAGCAAAGTTCTTAACCTGAAGCACTATTTCTGGGTTAGCGGAGTCTGTAACCTGAAGCGTATGTAACCCGAGGTACGTACCACTGTACTGTATTTTTAATATTAGAATATTCCTCAAAATTGTCTAACTTTCATTAGTTATCTCTGGAGGTAGTGTTTGTTTCTATATTCAGTATGTAGCAGGAACCCCCCCACCCCAATCATTCTGCTTGTACAAACTTCACACACACACACAGACATTACATACGCCACATTTCTGTTATAAATTCATAGAAAATCAACCATACATCGGATTTGCACTGTTCCATTTTTATTTTACTCCATATGACAAGAACTAACAAAGGGGGGTGGCTTAGTCCTGGTCAGCCATAATCCCTTCACCATCTCAGCACATCTGCAGGAGCCCTGCCCAGATGATCCCAGACAGAAGGCAATCAAGATCACAAAGAACTTGCATATGGGAGTGGATTCAGCATGGACTGAAACAAAGGACAATGATCAGATCTTCCCTCAGGGGGCAGGAAACTGCAAACTCCCCTTTGTCTCCTGGAAGTGACTCATGGGAGGGGGAAAGGAGGAACCAGCCAGGTGACAAGACACTCAGGTTACCACCAACTCCTCCCTCAACCCCTCCTTTCTGTAATGTATGCATGATGTTTCTGGGGGTGGGCTTGACCTAGAGGAGGGGAATTTCAAAAGTTTTATAAGACCTGGCACACTATTTTTCTGGGTCTTTCCTCTCTCCTGCAAGTGAGGGGAACACCCTGATGCATCAGTTCAATAAAGGCCAAGCCTACAGGCTGCTGTTTTGCTCCAAGTTATCCTGGTTGGTGTCTTTGTTTTGTCCAAGGGAGCCCTCGGATTTTTCCGGTAACAAGTATAACTACCCATCAGTAAACATTCCCTGGGAGGCTTACAAATAGAACAAATTTAAAAATACAATACAAAATAATTATAGTAAACCATAAAACACAGCAAAATAAACTGAAACAGCATAACCCAATTTACAACCCGGATTTAATGTTGTCAATTAAATACTATTCTATGGACTTTTTACTTGGAAATCATTATGAATTCAGCTGGACTTACTCAAGGCTTATTTGTGCCAAGATTCAGCAACTCAACGCTGTCATTTGTTTTCAGCGTCACGAGCTCAACCCTGAAATTTATGGAGTTCCTCTGCAAGTTGCAAGGAGAGGAAAGAAAGTTTCCAATGCAGAGTGAGTGTTTCTAAGACAGTCGAGGTCTAAGTTCTGCTGCAAGGGGCTTGCTCCCACGTAAATATGCATAGAACTAAAGACTGTAGTAGGCTTTGGGCTGGAGTTTTATAACTGCGAGATAAATTGGTGTGCATTTGTCTCTTAACTATTTGTGTTATGCAACCCATTATCCTGTCCTAAACCCATGGAATTCGATCTCTGGCTCACAGCTTCCCTGTAGCTTATTAGTAACGATAGAGGTTTGCTACAATACAAGGATCCGGTCCTGCATCTGCTTACTATTTTCAAAGTGCTCTGACACAGATCTGGTTAGCTTCTGTTACTTTTCAGCTCTAGAGTATTTGTTAGTCGAAATCCCTTCCGTTTATTAGCAAATCCGTTCCTTTTCTTCTTCCCCGCAGAGGGTTAAAGATTGCTACATTTGAAGCATTCTGGGAAATGTAGTTTTTGCTGTATGGTCCGGGAAACTGCCCATTTTAAAAAAGCTGCCTGAAAAGTAAGTTTTTGCTTTCGTTGGGGGGGGGGATCGATTAAAAAAAAATACATGGCTGGGTTATGTGCTTCTTTACAGTGCGTAACAGAACTGTTGCCCTTACTTTGCAGTGAGAGAAGTTTCTTTTTCAGATTTTCGTGACCACGTGTTTTGATTTGCTTTGCTTCTGAGGTTTTACATGGCTTCCTTACACTTCCTACAAAACCCGTGTTTGGCATGCCATATATCTTTTGCGTTTCTCACGGGTTGCTTCCATTTCAGTATGATACAGGCATTTTTAAAGTAAGCAAGATGCCAGCAGTACTGGCATCCCTCCAAAATGTTATAATTTGTATGAATACAGTTTGTTGTTGCTTTAAGATCAATGGGTGCTACAATTTTACGGTGCAACTTTCTTTTAAAGTTTTATGGGTGTTTGTTGTAATGCATGAATTTTGTGTTCTCTAAAGACAACTGATCCCATTCGTTTTTCACAAGAATGGAGAAACATTTGCATTGGGGATGATCTTTCCTTTCACATTAAAGCGGTCTTGCTTAATCATAAGCAATGTGACCAGCATAAATAAAGTTTAACTTAATTCCTAGGTACCATGTTATGGGTGTTCAATGCCTTGCAAGCTTGTTTTTTATATGGGGTGGAACTGAGTGTTTGAGATCACCTAGAAGGAAAGCAGTGCCGAACTTGGTGTTGACAAAATAAATGATGCAAGGAGAGAGAGTTGCAGCCCAAGACAGGAAGAAAGATGGTAAGAGAACACCTAGCTACTTTAAATGAATTCAGATATCTAGAGCCTGATTTCTACTCAAGAGTAGTAATAGAGCTTGGTGATACAATCTCAGAGTCTCTGTCTATAATCTTTGCGAATTACTGGAGAATTGGTGAGGTCCCTATGAACTGGAGGTGGGCAAATGTTGCCCCTATCTTCAAAAGTGGAGGGAGACCCAGGCTACTACCAACTGGTCACCTTGTCATCATACCAGGAAAGGTCCTAGAACAGATAATTAAATAGTCAGTTTGCAGAGAAGCTGATAAAATGTGAACTGGACAAGCTAAATGTTAGGTGGATTTGTAGCCTGGTTGCCAAAGAGTTGCTCACTAACTGTTCCTTGTCATCCTGGGAAAAAGTGAAAAGGAGGGTGCCGCAGGGTTCTGTTCTTCTGTTGTTGTTTAACATCTTTATAAACATCTTTTTTTATGTTTAGTGTGTCCTTCTCAGCATAGGGTAATTATTCTGTTTGCCTAGTAGTGGCCAATTCATGTCAAAATGAATTGTTACCTAGAAGGTTGCAAAGACTTTTGACTTCAACCTTAAAATGTTATTGAATGTTATTAAAATGTTAAGGGTGGCGCTGTGGGTAAAGCCTCAGCGCCTAGGACTTGCCGATCGTCAGGTCGGCGGTTCAAATCCCCGCGGAGGGGTGCGCTCCCGTTGCTCGGTCCCAGCGCCTGCCAACCTAGCAGTTCGAAAGCACCCCCGGGTGCAAGTAGATACGGTAAATAGGGACCGCTTACTAGCGGGAAGGTAAACGGCGTTTCCGTGTGCTGCGCTGGCTCGCCAGATGCAGCTTTGTCACGCTGGCCACGTGACCTGGAAGTGTCTGCGGACAGCGCTGGCCCCCGGCCTCTTGAGTGAGATGGGCGCACAACC